GTGCCTGAGGGCCCTGCTCCTGCCACTCACCACCTGGCCCAGGGCGGACCCTGAAGCCTCACAAGGACTGCTTCTGCTGCTGCCCAGGAGGACTGCCCTGTGTGAGTGCCTGAGGGCCCTGCTCCTGCCACTCACCACTTGGCCCAGGGTGGGGCCTGACAGGCCTCACAAGGACGGTTGCTGCCACTGCTGCTGCTGCCCAGGAGGACCCGGAGGGGCGCAGAGTTCTTTTTAAAATGTTTTAAAATTTTCCTTTCCCTTTTGACTTTTTTGTATATGGGGGGGTGGGGGTGGATGTTTGGATGAGCTTGGGAATTTGTTTGAGTTTGATGGATTTGTAATTTTTACAGTTTTTTGTTTGTATTGTTTTATTGTTTTCTGGGGGTTTTTTATTATTGGATTATGGTTTTATTTTGTTCTTAAGGGGAGGGGTCAGGGCTGCCGGGGAGTGGGTCCCAGCCAACAAAATGGCTGGAGCATGTTCCACAGAGGGGGATGCGCTGACGAAACGAAAGAAGTGCCACGGTCAGATCACTTCCTGGTGCAACTGGACTTCTCTGCGACCCTTCCCCTCTGCAGGGAGGTGGGACCGATTCGGATGGTCTGCCCCCGCCACTTAATGGAGCCAAATGGTTTCCAGAGAGTGGTAGGGGATGCTTTATCCCATGATGATGGCCTTTCAGCTGATTCCCTGGTGGCCCGCTGGAATGTGGAGTTAACCAGGGCTATTGACTGTTTGGCTCCGAAGCGCCCCCTCCGATTGCATGGAGCCCGGACAGCCCCGTGGTTTTCCACGGATCTGAGGGCAATGAAACAATCGCTGAGACGGCTAGAGCGCCGGTGGCGGATAACTCATTCTGAAGCTGACCGGACACGGGTTAGAGCTCAATGTCGAGCCTACCAAGTGGCAATGGCGACGGCAAAGAGGGTCTTCTTCGTCGCCTCCATTGCATCTGCAGAAAACAGCAGCAGGAGACTCTTTCAGGTGGTTCGCAATTTAGCGGAACCACCTGCTACATCGGGGCCAAGAACTGGCCACATAATCTCCTGAAATGATTTTGCAAAGTTTTTTGCAGATAAAGTCGCTCAGATTCGGGAAGAGGTAGATGCCACTGTGGGAGCAGGGCCGGGGCGGGAGAGTGCTAGAGTCCTGTCTAGTCAAATTACGTGGGATCAATTCCAATCTGTTACCTCCAAGGATGTGGTCAGGCTGCTTGGACGAGTGAAACCAACCACCTGTCTCCTTGATCTTTGCCCATCCTGGCTTATAAAAGCTAGCCGGAAAGGGCTGGGTGATGGGCTTCATGGGGTGGTGAATGATTCCCTCCATGAGGGAGCCTTCCCAGACCCGCTTAAAGAGGCAGTTATTAAACCGCTTCTTAAAAAACCATCTTTAGATGCGGCCACGATGGCCAACTATAGCCCAGTCTCAAATCTTCCATTCTTGGGCAAGGTGATTGAGCGAGTGGTTGCTGAACAACTCCAGGCACGCCTGGAAGAAACGGACCATTGGATCCCTTCCAGTCGGGATTCAGGCCTCATCATGGGACTGAAACTGCCTTGGTCGCACTGGTTGATGATCTCCAGTGGGCTAGGGACAAAGGTGAGAGCTGTTTCCTAGTTCTGCTGGATCTCTCAGCGGCGTTTGATACCATCGACCATAACATCCTTCTGGACTGTCTTGAGGGGCTGGGAGCTGGGGGCACTGTCATACAGTGGTTTCGCTCCTTCCTCCTGGGCCATGTTCAGAAAGTGGTGGTGGAGGATTAGTGTTCAGACCCCTGGGCTCTCACTTGTGGGGTGCCTCAGGGTTCTGTCCTCTCCCCCATGCTTTTCAACATCTACATGCAGCCGCTGAGAGAGATCATCAGGGGGATTGGGCTGGGTGTTCATCAGTATGGAGATGATACCCAGCTCTACTTCCGGGTTAGCGCCTCTGGCAATGGCAGATTTCCTCTGATCGGGAGGAATCCGCTTCGTGAGAATTAGGGTCTGGACCGCCGCGGCGAGGCGGAGACCCATTAAAAACCACAGGCGGGAGAAGCCTGTGGATGTGGGATTCGGCTGGCACCTTCGCGCCTCCCCTACTCACGGGGAACCCGGTTTCGGGGATCCGGAGCGACGTGGGGTGAATGGCGCGGTGCTTTGAATCGACTGCTTTTTTCACGGAGTGAAGCCGCATTGCTGTTGCCGGAGAGCGCTGACTTTTTCCTGTGGACAATTGGATTTTAAACAACTGCCCGTGAGTAGAACGGAAAATTGGACTATGAAATTTCTTAATTTGGCACCAAAGCAGGAAGGTCTAAACAGGAAGTCCGCCTTCCAGCTAGAGTCTGGAAAGTCGTCTGTAAAGGATTAAATTTCCATCATTTAAAATTACTAAACCCCCTTGGAGGCAGGAGAAGAGGGGGGAATCTTTTTAGACTGTTTAAACCTGCAGAAGAGAGAGTAAAGAAAGATAAATTTCCACCGTCTTGAACCTGGGAGCGGGGTGTCAGGATGGACGCTTTGGGGAAGTTCATTGACTGTGGACAAACGTTTTTGACAGATAGTTAAAAAAGAGAAACATATTGATTCCAATGTTCCCTCTTGCATTTAAAAGAAACAAAATATCTGAAAAAGGAAAGGAACTTTGTTGCTAGATCTGCTTTTAAAAAGACGGATACAAATAGAAATTGTTTCCCCTAGAGGGAGCTTGTGAAACTGTTATTAGAGTCGATCTGGGGAGCTTTGCAGCTGTAGAGATTAAAGATCATGGGACCAGACTTTGACCTTGAACAAGAATGTGCCTAGAACAAGTGTTAGTGCTTGCTCTTTGCAAGACAAGTGCTTTACTGGAACAGCTACATGAGAAAATGGATTTGATGACTGTTGCAGTCGGAAATCTTGGACAAACAGTGAATACCTATATAGAACCCACTCAGGAATTAATCCAGGAATGTGCTTTGACAGATCAAGTGGTGAAGAAGATAAAGGAGGAGGTTGTTGCTGAACCTCAAGTAGCAGAAATGGAGAGAGCTGCGGCCCTGCAGGAACATAAGTTGTTGGATCTGACGAATGAATCTGGAGAAAGTCAGATTTGGAGAGATGGAGTTCTGTTTGGCTTGGAGATGGGAAGCTGGATAGATCCTCCTATGCAGGGATGTTTTGACCTTTCGAATTTGGCTTTGGGCCAGGGGGAGTTGGGAGTTGTGGGGGCCCTTAACTTTGGAGGGACTTTGAAACATGCCTCTAAATATCATATGGATTTCAGTGTCGACTATGGAGAATGGGCTGACTTGTCGAGAAGGGACAAATATATTGTCAAGTTGGCGTCTCCCCGAGAGAAAGGAAGGAAATTAAGAATAAGATCAGCAGAAGACAAAGTAAAGTACAGGTACAAACATGAAGACGACCTGTGGAAGGGACATGGAAAAGACTTAAGAGCCTCAGATAGAAGGTCACCAGGTTGATGGACTAGTTGGATGGGATAGAAAGGACTGACAAAACCCGAGACCAGGAAGAAGAGACGATGGATAAAGATTGGAAGAAAGTTTTAAGAACTTATTTAGAAAATCATCGTAAAATTAATGAGTACTAGAAAAATGTTGGAATGAAATTATTTGGCTTTAGTAGAAATGTTAAAAAGAACTATGTAAGAATATGTTATGCTTGAAAGAATTAGGTATAAATAAGACTTTTAAGCTTTAGGGTTTTTTATGGTAAAATAAGGTTAAAATAGATTAAGGTAATTTAATGACAGAATATTGTGAAAGATGGAAAGGATTTGCTGAGATAATTAATAACTAGAATACAAAAAAGGGAGGTGTGAGGAGGTCGATGAAATAAGTTAATGGAAAATAAGGATTTGGGAATATTGGATTTGTTTTTAAATTTTTTGTTTATTTTTGTTTTTTGATTTTGATGTATTGTGTGTTTTGTTTTTTTCTTTGACTTTGGTTTTTATTGACTTGTATTGTTCAATTGTTATTTTTGTCTACCTTTTTCTTTCCTTTTTCTTTTTCTCTTTTTTTTTCTTTCTTTCTCTGTAATTTTAAATTCTCAATAAATATCATTAAAAAAAAAAAGAGAGAGATGATACCCAGCTCTACCTCTCTTTCAAATCATAACCAGTGAAGGCGGTGAAGGTCCTGTGTGAGTGTCTGGAGGCGGTTGGAGGATGGATGGTGGCTATCAGATTGAGACTGAATCCTGACAAGACAGAAGTACTGTTTTGGGGGGACAGGAGGTGGGCAGGTGTGGAGGATTCCCTGGACCTGAATGGGGTAAGTGTGCCCCTGAAGGACCAGGTGCGCAGCCTGGGAGTCATTTTGGACTCACAGCTGTCCATGGAGGCACAGGTCAAATCCGTGTCCCGGGCAGCTGTTTACCAGCTCCACCTGGTACGCAGGCTGAGACCCTATCTGCCTGCGGACTGCCTCGCCAGAGTGGTGCATGCTCTGGTTATCGCCCGCTTGGACTACTGCAATGCGCTCTACGTGGAGCTACCTTTGAAGGTGACCTTGAAACTACAACTAATCCAGAACGCAGCAGCCAGACTGGTGACTGGAAGCGGCCGCTGAGACCATATAACACCGGTCTTGAAAGACCTACATTGGCTCCCAGTACGTTTCCAAGCACAATTCAAAGTGTTGGTGCTGACCATTAAAGCCCTAAACGGCCTCGGTCCAGTATATCTGAAGGAGCGTCTCCACCCCCATCGTTTTACCCGGACACTGAGGTCCAGCACCGAGGGGCTTCTGGCGGTTCCCTCACTGCGAGAAGCCAAGTTACAGGGAACCAGGCAGAGGGCCTTCTCGGTAGTGGTGCCCTCCCTGTGGAACGCCCTCCCACCAGATGTCAAAGAGAACAACAACTACCAGACTTTTAGAAGACATTTGAAGGCAGCCCTGTTTAGGGAAGCTTTTAATGTTTGATGTATTACAGTATTTTAATATTTTTTTGGAAGCCGCCCAGAGTGGAATTAATTTTCTGCTTAATTCTTTATACTTTTCTATTTTAATATTGTTTATATTCTTCATCAGTTCTTGAGCCGTGTTTGGATGAATCATACCTTCCTGCTCCCATTTAATCTGAATTATCCTTATCATTCTTTCTTTGTCGCTTATCATCAGTTTATATAACATCCCTGCTATCCAGTTCTCCATTATTTGTCTTTTGTTCAGCACCATATCTATTTTCGTTTCTGTCCTCATCGTTTCCTCTGTGTGATGGGATGATGAGCTGCTTGTGCGTAAAATCGTATCCCCTCAGAGTTTGTTCAAGTCCACAAACCTCTGTCTGTGACGGAGCCCCTCAGACATGGCTCCTCTAGTCACTAGCAGATTCCGACAGTGGTTGCTTTCGTAATCGCTTCCAACATAAAAGCTCCTTAACGGAAACACGTCTTCTGGACCCTCTGCGTGTCAGTTTCCGGCGAGGAGTGGGTGTCCCTACAGGAGGTCCTGAAACCTCCCCACTGTTTTCGCTGGAAGTGTCTCTGAGCCATCCCTCCAGCTCACTTTCCCTCCGCTCAGCTCCTCTCCCCCTACTGGTTCCCTCTTCAGCTGCTGAGTCTCTCCCAACCTGTGTGAGCCCTTTCACCTCCCTTCCGTCCGATGGCAGTTCCCTGACATCCACCTCCCCCCAGGGCCCCCTTCACCCCCTCTCGCCCCCTCCTCTACGGGCGGTGAGGAGGCAAAACCCGGAATGAACTTCCTTCATCTTCCGATGTCTCGAACACTTCTCTCCACCTGTTGCGGTTCCTGGTCTCGAAGTACTCCTCCTCCTCAGAGTCCATCTCCCCTTCCCCTTCCGAGTCCGGGAAGCCTTCCAACTCCTCCTCCTCATCAGTGGTCCCAAAGTATTCCCTCCGGAACCTCTCCACAGGCTGAGGTTTCCTTGGGAACCTTTGATGGAACGTTTCTATCAATACCTCGTCATTGATATCTTCGGCCATTACCCAAGTGTTTTCTGACTCCGGTTCTCCTTCCCACGCTACCAAATACTCCACCTGATTCCCCTTCCACCTGGCGTCGAGGATTTCTGCCACATGGCTGCTGCATTCTCTTTCTTCTATGACCGGTCCCAGTGGCCATCCCTTCTCGTCCCCCTTCGTACGGTGACAGTAACGACCTGTGAAATACTGGGTGCAGTTTCATGTGGTTGGGTAACCGGAGCCTGAAAGCCACTGGGTTGACCTGTTGAATGACCTCAAAGGGACCCAACCTCCTGGGTCTTAATTTCTTACAACCTCCTTTGAGCAGCAGCCCTTGGGTTGACAGCCACACCCTATCTCCCACCCTTATGGTTTCACCTTCCCTTCGGTTCTTGTCTGCTTGCCTCTTGTATTCTTCCTTCGCCCTTTCTAAGTTGAGTTGGAGCTGACAATGGATTGCTTCCATTTCTTCTACAAAATGCTCGGCTGCCGGGACGCTCCATCTCTCCCCATCTCCCCCTGGGAAAGCCCTGGGATGACACCCATAATTAGCCAAGAAGGGGCTCATCCCTGTGGACACATTCTCGGCATTGTTGTAGGCAAATTCCGCCAGCGCCAACTTTTCTACCCAGTCATTCTCTCTGTCATTGACATAACACCTCAGGTATTGCTGGAGGACACCGTTTGCTCTTTCCGCCTGCCCGTTGGTTTCAGGGTGCCGGGCAGTCGAAAAATTGACCTCCACCTGCAGTAAGCTCATGAGCTTCCTCCAGAACCTGGAAGTAAATTGTTTTCCTCGGTCTGAGACCACCCTCAATGGCACCCCGTGCAACCTAAAAATGTGTTCTACAAATAACTTCGCTGTCTCTTCCGCCGTGACTGCATGCGAGCAAGCTACAAAGTGGCACATCTTTGTTAGTAGGTCCACCACCACCATGATGGCTGTTTTCCCTTTGGACTTCGGCAGATCAGTCATAAAATCTATCGACACTGCCTCCCAAGGTCGTTCTGGGGTTGGTAAGGGTTCTAATAGCCCCGCCGGCGCCCGCCTTTCCCCTTTGGCTCGCTGGCATTGCTCGCACCCTCTTACATACTCACGTACATCTTCCCTCACCTTGGGCCACCAAAATTCCCTGGTGACCAACCACATGGTTTTGTGTTGTCCAAAATGCCCCGCCGTAGGGCTGTCGTGCAACTGCTTGAGTACCCTCCCCTTAAGTCTCCTTCAGGGATATACAGTGCCCCTTTGTAATACAAAGCTCCATTTCTTTCCTCGAAACCCCCTGGTTCCTCTCCCTCACCCCTAAGACCTCTGAGCTTATTCTGGGCGTATTCATCATTCTCTGTTTCCTCTACCAGTTCTCTTTGTCCCACCAATGCCGCCCCACACACCCAGCGGTCCTCTGGAATGACATGTCTCTCTTCGGGTGCTCCCTCCCCCTCCAAATATTCAGGTTTGCGTGAGAGAGCGTCCGCCCTAATGTTCTCTGGGCCTGGCACGTAACAAATCTCAAAGTTAAATTTGGAGAACTCCTGGGCCCATCTCACTTGCCGTTGGTTGAGCACTCGTGCCGTCCTCCAATACTCTAGGTTCTTGTGGTCAGTGCACACTTGCACCTTATGTTGTGCGCCAATTAGCAGGTGCCTCCATCTCCGGAACGCCTCATGAATGGCTAGTAGTTCTCGGTCATACACCGTGTAGTTCCTCTCGGATTTGTTCAGCTTTCGCGAAAAAAGGCACACGGTCTCCACTCTGACTCCTCCTTGCCTGGCTGCAGAAGCACCGCCCCAATCGCTCTGTCTGATGCGTCAGTTTCCACTCTCATCGGTTTTGTAAATCCACATGCAGGAGTTGTTGTTCCAGGCGAAGGCCCTTTTTAGTTCCTCAAATGCTCGCTCCGCCTCCTCAGTCCACGCGAACTTCTTCTTACTGCTGAGACAGTCCGTAATGGGCGCCGTCAGGTGGGCAAAGTTTCGGATGAACTTACGATAGAAGTTCCCAAATCCTAGGAACCTCTGCACATCCTTCCTTGTTTTGGGTGTTTTCCATTCCAGCACCGCCTGGACCTTGCCGGGATCCATGGCCAATCCCTTGTCTGACAGGCGATACCCCAGGAATTCCACCTCCTTGGTATGAAACTGACACTTCTCCAGTTTCACCCACAGCTGGTTGGCTTGCAGCCTGCTCAACACTTCTCTGACGTCTCTCACATGCTGCTCCTCATTCTCAGAATACACCAACACGTCGTCTAAAAAGGCCACACAATTCTTGTAAAGCAAAGGCCCCAGGACGTGGTTCATAAACGATTGAAAGGTTGCGGAGCCTGCTTGTAGGCCGAAGGGCATAACCAAATATTCAAATGCCCCTAAAGGGGTGAACATGGTGGTTTTCCATTCATCCCCCTTCCTTATTCGTACCAGGTTGTACGCCCCCCTTAGGTCCAGCTTTGTGAAAATCTTTCCCTTCCGCACCCTTGTCAAAATGTCGTCAATCCTGGGCATAGGGAAGGCCACTGGTTCTGACACTGCATTTAAGGCCCTGAAGTCACACACCAGCCTCGGCTTGTTCGTGTTTTTATCCACAAAAAACACTGGGCTGCCCCCACCGCCCTGGACTCTCTGATGAACCCTCTCTTCAGGTTCTTGTCAATGAACTCTCTTAGCTCCTGCATCTCTCTGTCTGACATGGCGTACAGCTTGCCTACAGGGAGCTGTGCCCCAGGGAGTAAATTGATTTGACAGTCAAAGGGTCTATGCGGGGGTAGTTGGTCAGCTTCCCTTTCGCTGAAGACGTCACGGAGATCTGCATATTGTCGTGGTACCTTCACGTTCTCCGTTACTTCAGTCCCTGCTAGGGTGGCTTGGGCCCCTGCCAAACCCTTTCCCTCTTTGCAGTGTTCTAAGCAATGTGCTGAACCAAAAGAAACCACTCTCTGATGCCAGCCCACCAGCGGATCATGTAACGCTAGCCAGCTCATCCCCAATATAATGGGAGCTCCTCCCAAGGTGGCCACATTAAAAGCTATCAGTTCGGTGTGCCTTGCTACCTTCATTATCATTGGGACGGTCTGCAAGCTGACTTCTCCTCCCAACAGCTCCCTGCCATCGATCGTGGTCACCTGCAGGGGGTTGCTTAAAGGATCGTCTGTATCTGGTGTTCAGCTGCAAACTCTTTGCTCATGAAATTGCAGGAGCTGCCTGAGTCCAACAGCGCCTTTATCTTTAGAGGGTGTCCGTTTGGCAGCTCTAGCGTCACTTCTATCACTAGGGCGGGTTTAGGAGGTTCTGGCGTGGGCACTCTCACTGCTCTTTGGCCTGGCTGCTGTGCCCCGACAGTGGCAGCCAGGCGTTGGCTTTACTTGCTCCGGTATTTCTTCCTCTCTTCCCTCCACAGCTCCTACCATCCCTTGCCATTCCTTCCTCTGAGGGCAGACTCTGGCAAAGTGACCTGGCTGTTGGCAGAGATAGCATTTCCGGGCGCCTTTTCCCTCCTTCTTTCCCCCTCACTGGGCTTTGAAACTGCGCGCGCGCGCTGTTCCGATTTCCATCGGCTCTGCCGGCGGGAAAGTTGGCTCTGGAATGTCTGGAATGCGGAACTCCTTCCAACGTTCCCCTTTCCCTTCCCGCCTCTCCAATGCTCTCGCCTCCTGGCGCGCTCCTATGGTCAGCGCTGATTTGGTCAGCTGGTCCATAGACTCCGCCCTGGGCGCCCGGGAAAGTTCGTCTTTCACAGCCGAAGAAAGCCCTTCTTCAAAGAGCATTTGAATGGGTTCCGCCGATAAGTCCCACCCCAATCTGTGAACCAGCATGGTGAACTCAGTCCAGTACTCACGGACAGATCGGCTCCCCTGTTTGCAAGCCATTAACTGTCTGCGCACCACTCCCTGTTCAATATCGCTGGAAAACATCAGATCCATGGCGCGAAAGAACTTCATCGTGTCCTTTAGGACGTCACTATTCGCTGCCATCAGGGGTCTAACCCAGTCTCTCGCCCCCTTTTCAAGATGCTCAATCACGAAAGCCACTCGTGATTCCTCGTCAGGAATTCATCAAACTGCAGATTGAGGGCATATTGCATCTCTGTCCGAAAGCCATGATAGTCTTTGGGCTCCCCCCCAAACTTCTGCACCAATCCTGGTACCTTTCTGGCGAGCTGGGTGGCTTTCCCCTTTTGTCTGCATCCTGAGCCCTCCTCTCCTCCAAGCCTCGCCGTCTGCATCGCTAGCTGGACCTCCAACACCCGGTACCTTTCTTCCAGGCTTGGACCCGCTCCAGCTCCTGCTTCTCCGGTTCCGGCTGGGTTGCTCATGATGCCTTCTCCTGCACAAGCTGCTTTCAAAGACTGTCGGAATGCTGTGATGGGATGATGAGCTGCTTGTGCGTAAAATCGTATCCCCTCAGAGTTTGTTCAAGTCCACAAACCTCTGTCTGTGTGAGCCCCTCAGACATGGCTCCTCTAGTCACTAGCAGATTCCGACAGTGGTTGCTTTCGTAATCGCTTCCAACATAAAAGCTCCTTAACGGAAACACGTCTTCTGGACCCTCTGCGTGTCAGTTTCCGGCGAGGAGTGGGTGTCCCTACAGGAGGTCCTGAAACCTCCCCACTGTTTTCGCTGGAAGTGTCTCTGAGCCATCCCTCCAGCTCACTTTCCCTCCGCTCAGCTCCTCTCCCCCTACTGGTTCCCTCTTCAGCTGCTGAGTCTCTCCCAACCTGTGTGAGCCCTTTCACCTCCCTTCCGTCCGATGGCAGTTCCCTGACACTCTGCTCTTTCTGTTTTTACTTAATCATAAAGTCCTTGCACTTTCAGCCAATATTGTTTTCCTATTTTTTCTAAAAAAAACTTTTTTTGTAATTAAATTCCCTTCTTCATCGAATACATCTTTTAATTTATAAAATCCCTGATCTTCTAATTTCTTCCACCAACCCGGTTCCCTTTGACCCTCCTGCATAACGGCGTCCACCTTGAGTATGTTGGCATCCATTTTGTATTCCAATTCTTCCAGATTCCTAACACAGTTTTCCTTGGTCCTATTGTCTTCTTAAAAGCCGTATTAATATCTCTATTAAATATCCCTTCTCTTCCTATTCCTTCATTTATTTCATTCTCCAGCCTTATCCATTTAATCCCATCCTTATATCCAATATCTATTAGATTTTTCAATTGGAATGTTTCATAGTAAAATTCTAAGTTTGGTATTACCCATCCCATCTCTTCTTGAGATGAATAATTTACTATGTCTGGGGTTCTAACTCTTTTACTTCCAAAAATCCAATTTTTAAATACCTTATTCCATGTTTTGAACCATATTTTCCTAATGGGTAGTGTAATTACTTGAAATAAATATAATAATTTTGGTACCAGAAACATTTTAACTGCTCTAACCCTACCTAGAATAGATAAATTCTTATTTTTCCATGATTTTATATCCTTCTTGATCTTCCTCCACACTTCTTTGTAATTTACATCTGGAATCCTAGCAATATTTTTAATAATATTTACCCCCAAGTATTTAATTTTCCCCCTATTGATATCCATCTTTGTCATTTTTGCAATTTCCTTCTTCTCCTCTTTATTTACATCCCAAAATAAAATTTCACACTTCTCCAAATTTACTCCCAATCCTGACTCCTCTTTAAAGTCCTTCATGATTATCATAAGTTCTCTTACACCCTCTAAGGGGTTTGTAAATAATAATAGGATATCATCTGCATACATGTTTAACTTGATTTCTTCCTTTCCTTTCTTATATCCTCTTATCCTTACTGAGTTTTGTATTCTATCTGCCAAGTACTCCATACCCAATACAAATAGTAGTGGTGAGAGTGAACACCCTTGTTTAACTCCTCTTTGTATATTGAATTGATCTGAAACCCCCTCATTCCCTCTGACCACAGCCTTCCCTTCTCTATACAATTCCTGGATTGCTTCCACAAAGTTCTCTCCTAATCCTACCACCTCCCTCATAATATTCCATAAGAACTTACGTCTAATCGTGTCAAAGGCCTTATACACATCCAATTTTAATACCACCAATTTTCCTTTTACCCTGCTTGTTAATACGTTTAACACATTTCTGATAGGATGGCCTATGTATCTTCCCTTAACAAATCCATATTGATCTTCCTTAATTATTTTAGGTAGTACCTTTTCCAGTCGCCTTGCCAGGATCTTTGTAAATATCTTATAGTCTTGATTTAATAGGCTAATTGGTCTGTATGACCCCACCTCTGTAGGGTCCTTTTGTGGTTTTTTTAATCACTATTATTTCCGCTAGTTTCCAAGTGTCTGGGGCTTTCCCCCCTTCTAAGATATCATTAAATCCTTTTTTTCAGTTCTGAGCCCAGGATATCAATTGTTTCTTTTTAAAAGTCTGCCGTAATTCCATCTAATCCTGGGGATTTCTTGCTTTTAAATGATTTAACTACGTTGTCAGGGAGAGGCAAACGGGGAAAGAGCTGAGGTGAGAAACCAGCACTTACAGAGAGCCGAAAGAGATAATTAGTAGTCTGTCGTCTGACAGCGAAGAGGAGGCAGCGAGGGGGAAGGATGAGCCCGGAACTAGTTATTCTGTAAACAGAGGAAATCAGAGGCGTGGTTTCCGCAGACTTGCATGTTGGGCAAAAAAAAGTAAAAAGAAACCAGACACGGCATCTTTGCCGACAGGGTCAGACATGATTTGAAGCACTGGAGATGTTCTTTTGAACTATGTAAATAAATCAAAGAGATTGTAACTGGCAGCGAGCCTGGAGTTTTTACCTATGCCGGCTTGGCAGCACACACCTCTCACATACGTTCTCTATTTCTTCTAAAGAAATTTCCTCCTTCAGTCTTAATCTATCACTTTCTTCAATTTTAAACTTTCCCTGCTAATATTTTTATTTTCTTCTTTATATAAAGATTGATAGAATTCTGCAAATTCTTTCCTTATTTCTCTAGAGCTTTGTGTGAGTATTTTCCTTCTGGTCTTAATGGCCTTCACCCTCTGTTTATCCCTTCTTTTCTTTAAATAGTTTGCCAGTCTCTTATATGATCCTACTGAGGTTCTCTGAAAATCATTTTTGATCATATTATCTCTCTTCCACACCGCAACTATATCCAGCTCATCCAATTCCTGTTTTAACTTTCTTAACTGCTCCTGTCTGCTCCTTAGAAATTTTGCCTGTTGCTGTTGTTGCAAAATTTCAATCTCTTTAATTTTTTCCTGTCTCCCCGAGTACCAATCTTTCTTAATCGCAATCTCTTTCAGTATACAATGTCCTCTTATAACCGCTTTGAAAGCGTCCCATACTACCGGGATCTCGGCCGAACCATTGTTCTCTTTAAAATACCATCCAATTTGTTTTCTGATATATTCCCTGTCAATCCTTTTTGCCATTATTAGGTTATTGTACTGCCATCTGCTGCTTTTTCCATCCTCTTCCAGTCCCAGCTCTACAAATAGTGGAGCATGGTCTGAAATCCATATTCCATAGTCTTTGCTGTTCTAACACTGATTTCATTCCCTTCTTTAATTAGCATGTAGTCAATATAGAGAAAATCTTATGTCTGTCGGAGAAGAAGGTAGGTTTGGTGTTGGGGTTTCCCCTCTCAAAAACATCCTTTAATCCCTATTTAGATAATCTGAAAGTACCGGTACTATTGTTCTTTATATTCCAATTAAAGTCTGCTGTAACGATAACTTCCCCTTCAGCGTAAAGCTGCAGTCTGTTCAAGGTTTTCTTTATAATTTTTTCCTGTCTTGTGTTAGGGCCGTATGTATTAGCTATTGTAAAGATTTTTTGTGACAGTTTAATTTTTAAGAATATAAATCTACCATCATTACCTTTTTTCTGGCTCAGAACCTCCGGCCTAAGATTTACATTACAAAGTATAGCGACCCCTCTAGCCTTGTTTGTCGCTTTCGATTCTGCTATTAGGCCCTATTGCTGAGAGCATAACAAAGCTCTATTGTTTGCTTTGGCTCTATGTGTCTCCTGAAGGCATAGTATATCCACTTTCATTTTCTTTGCCAGTGTCAGTACCCTGTAGCGTTAGGTGTTTGAGGCCAGCCCGTTAACATTTAAAGATAAAACCTTTAAAGATCTATCCATTATCCCGACTACTGTTTATTTTTTGAATCCCTCTGTGTACATATATTATATTTTCAATTCTGGCCCATTCAACCCCCCTCTGTGGGTTAAACCACAGAGCCTAGGACTTGCCGATCAGAAGGTCGGCAGTTCGAATCCCCGTGCCGGGGTAAGCTCCTGTTGCTCGGTCCCTGCTCCTGCCAACCTAGCAGTTCGAAAGCACATCAAAGTGCAAGTAGATAAATAGGTACGGCTCTGGCGGGAAGGTAAACGGCGTTTCCATGTGCTGTTCTGTTTTGCCAGAAGTGGCTTAGTCATGCTGGCTACATGACCAGGAAGCTGTACGCCGGCTCCCTCGGCCAATAAAGCGAGATGAGTCCCACAACCCCAGAGTCGGTCACGACTGGACCTAATTGTCAGGGGTCCCTTTACCTTAGTTTAGTATATATTATTTCTTGCTGTTTCCTTTCCCTCTCAACTTCCGTCTTCCCAAAATATTCTGGGAGAGACGAGATTATTCTGGGAGAGAAGAGAATGCTCTAGAAAAGATGCCGCTGTTCTAGAGCACTCTGGAACGTTCTAGAGCACTCTGGAACGTTCCAAAATATTCTGGGAGAGAAGAGATTATTCTGGAAGAGAAGAGGATGCTCTAGAAAAGGTGCCTCTGTTCTAGAGCGCTCTGAAACATTCTAGAGCACTCTGGAACATTCCAGAATATTCTGGGGGAGAAGAGATTATTCTGGGAGAGAAGAGAATGCTCTAGAAAAGATGCCGCTGTTCTAGAGCACCGCTGTCCTAGAGCACTCTGGAACAATCCAAAATATTCTGGGAGAAAAAACATTATTGCGGGAGAGAAGAGATTATTCTGGAAGAGAAGAGGATGCTCTAGAAAAGGTGCCTCTGTTCTAGAGCGCTCTGGAACATTCTAGAGCACTCTGGAACATTCCAAAATATTCTGGGGGAGAAGAGATTATTCTGGGAGAGAAGAGAATGCTCTAGAAAAGATGCTGCTGTTCTAGAGCACCGCTGTTCTAGAGCGCTCTGGAACATTCTAGAGCACTCTGGAACATTCCAAAATATTCTGGGGGAGAAGAGATTATTCTGGGAGAGAAGAGAATGCTCTAGAAAAGATGCTGCTGTTCTAGAGCACCGCTGTCCTAGAGCACTCTGGAACAATCCAAAATATTCTGGGAGAAAAAACATTATTGCGGGAGAGAAGAGATTATTGCGGGAGAGAAGAGAATGCTCTAGAAAAGATGCTGCTGCTCTAGAGCACCGCTGTTCTAGAGCACTCTGGAACATTCTAGAGCGCTCTGGGACATTCCATGATATTCTGGGAGAGAAGAGATTATTCTGGGAGAGAAGAGAATGCTCTAGAAAAGATACCGCTGTTCTAGAGCACTCTGGAACGTTCTAGAGCACTCTGGAACGTTCTAGAGCACTCTGGACCATTCCAGAATATTCTGGGAGAGAAGAGATTATTGTGGGAGAGAAGAGAATGCTCTAGAAAAGATGTTGCTGTTCTAGAGCGCCGCTGTTCTAGAGCACTCTGGAACATTCTAGAGCGCTCTGGGACATTCCAAGATATTCTGGGAAAGAAGAGATTATTCCGGGAGAGAAGAGAATGCTCTAGAAAAGAATAGAATATTTCCTGCCGTCTCTAAAAACCAGCAGTGTAGCAGGGTAGGCCCAGGTAAAGAGGATTTTATAATTGTAGAGAGCTTGTGCAAACTGCTGCATACGTTTCCTGTCTTGAAGCGTTTCCTGAGAAAAATCGTGTCTCACTGTGACCTTTCGCTGTTTAAACTGCAGGTCTGCATTCTGCCAGAGTGATTTATAAATTTGATCTCTTAACTTCTCTCTTGTGAATGCCATAATTACATCCCTGGGTAGTCCAGAGCCTCCTCGTGATGTGAACACCCGGTGCACTCTCTCAATTTCATTCTGCTCAATTTCAATTCCTTGTTCTTTGAGCCATTCTAACATCTCCTTTTCCAGGTCCTTATTCCCAATATATTCAGAAATACCAGAGAATTTTAAATTCCTTCTGCGCTGTCTGTCATTCATTTGTGAAATTCTTTTTGTCAGAGATTCTATTTTGTTTACGTTTGCATCAGCTACCTCTTTTGCATGTTCTGCTATTTTTGTAACTTTTTCTACTGTAGCAGTCATTCTTCTCATCTCTCCTTTCAAGTCTTGCATATCAGCGCGGACATTTGCTTCCGAACGCTGAATCATTTCACCCAGCTCCTTCAAAGACTTGGCCATCCTGTTAAGTCCTTCTCAAGTCTTTCCCAAATAAATAGATAAACCACCGTTTTAAACACTAACTCACCCCAATCCAGGACTTAGACCTAAGCCCAGTTTTTGGTGAGTTATCTCAGCTATCAGTTTGCAGAGAGTTATTTGTTTTTCAGGCTTTTAATTAGTGAAGTTCCAAGAGCGAGACGGGTGTGCGTCTACCCACACTTGTTGTGTAACCTCTCAGCTCCTGTGGGAGGAAAGAGGACCTCAGAATCAGGAGGCTGGTCTGGGGGAAAGAGGCAGACCACTGTGAAGCCCTTTACACTCTCAGAGAGATCCGTTTCTGTTCTAAAATGGCAATGTCCTCCAGCCCCAAATTGTAGCTCTGCATCCAAGGCCCTCCTTTGGCTGTCTGGGCAAGTGGGCCTTTGCTGCCTATTCCATGTGGCCAGCTTGCCTTACAAGAGGGGAAGGGCCCAAGAGGTGCACTGCTGAGAAAGTGTATGCTAGGTGGCGGCTTCTCCATGAAAGCTTTCTAGGTCAAACAGCCACTGAGGCCATCAATATACTTACATTCATCAGCAAGTTCAGGATCTTAGTGCTTGGGGCCTCCCAGAGGAGGCCTCCCAGCATCAGACTATAACGTTCCTCTAACTCCTACAGGCAATGGCAATTTTCATCCACATGGGTTCGTTGAGGGAGGGAGAGGATGCGCCAAGCAGGGGAAAGAGAGATCAGATGTTGAGCAATGGGAGCAATGCTTAAAGCGTGTGAAGAAGAAACAACTATAGAAGTCAAATTTCAAGACTAACAACTTACCTGCTTGTCGGGCTCAGTTTTTACCTCAATGACCGCCGCAAAGGCTGCATGCACAATCAGGCTGTGGAGCTTCAGTGGTAATTTGGGCTTCATGAGGCTGGAGAGAAGGAGGGAAAAGTTTTTAGACTCTGTCTCATATTGGAGGGGGCATCAAATACATTTCAATTTCTTGAACTTCTAGTGAATGCATGTGTTAGCTTAAACCACTTTTTACAACCAAGCAGTGAATAAATTTTACAGGATAAAAATGAATAAAGGTAAAATTAAAATAAACACACGAGGACACTGTTTATGTGGCAGTCTACCTGGCACTTTGTTTGCAAGCCTCTAAAGGTAAAGGGACCCCTGACCATTAGGTCCAGTCGTGACCGACTCTGGGGTTGCGGCGCTCATCTCGCTTTATTGGCCGAGGACGCTGGCGTACAGCTTCCGGGTCATGTGGCCAGCATGACTAAGCCGCTTCTGGCGAACCAGAGCAGTGCACGGAAATCCGCTCCACTTCCCACTGGGGAGGAGTTGCGGTGGACCGTGTGGCCACCCACTCCCCACCGGGGCTGGGGGACTTTGTCCCCCGTTGCCTGGGGGATCCCGGCCACGTCAGAGCCCAGCCAGCCAATCCGCTGGCCGGGGGGGCGTGGCCGGGGCTATTTAAATGGAGGAGCGAGCCAGAGGACTTCCTCTTCCTCTTTGGCTCGCTTCCTCAATCGATCAGGACGTCGGTCTCTCTGCTCTTTGGATTTTGCCTTTTGTTTTGTTTCTTGGTTGTTTCCTGCCTCGTGGTTCAGCGTTGCGAGAAGGACCAGGGAAAAACCGAGTGGGTGAGTTGTTGCGCCCCCTCAGAACTGCTTACTGCCTGCTTTTGTCCTTTGTCCCTCCTTCCTGGCCCTTCTCCACATTTCCGATCCGCCAAAGGCACCTGGGGTTGCAACTCCCCCCCCCCCCATTTCCTCATCCATCCTTACGGGGGCTAGTCGGCTGAAGTGCGCTCGTTCATGGCTTCTGTTCGAGCCGCGTGGATTAAAGGCTAGCAGCGGTGCTGGTGGGTCCCATTACGCCCCCCCCACCTTACACTCTCGGTCACAGAGGCGTTTCGCTGTAGCCTTCCCTTGGGTCCCCGGCTCCCCCCCCATCTGCGTTCCCTCGCTGCCCCGAGGGGAGGATTGCTTCTTATTGTTTCCTCCCTCGCTGCAGGGCTAGCGAACGGCTCGGTTATCCTTTTAAACACGGCATTCTGCATTGAGTAGCAGCCGTTGGGAGACCGAGCGCTGAGCAATTTAGGGGATTGTTTGAGTCTTCTTCGAGACGGATAGACAGCAAAGAGTGTTTGGGGCTTTCCAGCGCTTCAACCTTTAGGGCGCAGTTTGAGCCTTGGAGCACCGTCTCCGGACCACTGCCTTCGGCGGCTCAAACCCCTGCCAGCACACACACACACACCCCCCCGCTCGGCACGGCTGTTGAGCCCCACGCGGCTCCTTCCAGCTTGTCTCAAGCGGCTCATTGTTTACTTAATACAGCTTCAGCGCTGCCTTGGCTTTAGCCGCTGATTGTGGTTGCTTCAGCCGGTCCTTCCAGTTTGTTTGTGTGCACGTGGGTTGTGTGTTGCGTGGGACGGCAGAAAGAGTGTTTTGGCTGCAGAGAGGGAATTGGGCTTCCTAGGGCGCGGAGCATTCGCGAAGGTGCTTTTGCTATTAGCCGCCGTTGCCCTGCAATTTGCTGACAGGCGAAGAGTGCCTTTGTGTTCCTTTGCTCCCCGCTCTCTTTGCCTTTTCATTGGCTGCAGGCTTCGCCTTTGTCCCACCCTCTGTTTTCAGGCTTGCTCAAGTCTGTATGCGCTCACAGCTGGCACCAGCCGGGTTTCACATCCCCCCCCCCCCCAGCACAACATTAAGGGAAGGGGGAAAGTTTCTGAGGCACAGGGTTGCCTTTTGGCTGTTTTGTGAATTCCTTTGCACTCACGCCTACGATCCGCATTGGCGGCAGGGAGCACGTGGTCGGTAGCGACCATTTTAGAAGCAACCACGTGCTTGCGTAGTCAGGCAGCGGCCGACTGCCATCTTGGGAGGGGCAGAGAAGTGCCCGGTCGCTTGCAGCTTCAATAATCCTAACTCCTCCATAAATAAAGCAATTATTCTTTGGAAATCCTCAGGCTGTTGTATTGGTTTCATTAGAGGTCATTCATAGGAATAATTCATAATTGGGGCAATAAATTGATTGTATACAACGGGTTAAGAAATAAATAAATAATTACATATCAACTATTAATAATTAAAATATAATTGCATTAATTAATTAATTCATACTTCAGTTTAAGTCATACATTAGTTTATTATTAATTCATACAACATCTATAATAATCCATACAATTTTAATTAATTTTAATTTATATTCTAATTATTAATTCATTCAATAATTTAACAACTCTAATTTAAACTTACACACATACTATAGGGTAGGGCAATTTTGGAGGTTAGCAATTTTGGTGAGGTGTTTTGTGTGTGCTGTGCAGATTAGTTAATTCTCATTCAGTGGATTGAGTTTTCGGGCCTATTTGTTTTGGTTAATAATCAAATAGATTGTCGCAGCGCTGCCATTATTGAAGGTCCTTTTACTAAAAAGTTCAGCATTTCGACTGGTTAATTTTAACTGGCTTCTGGCCTGAATACCGGGTTTTAATTTAGTATTTGAGGCCTTTTGTCTCGTCGCTGCTGAATTAAATTTGCTTTATTGAGTTCTATTTACAATTGGTGTTTGCTGCTCTACGGGTCTGGGTAAAAGGCGGATCTACACGGATCCTCATGGATCCTCCACTTTTTAAACAATAACTCCAACAAATGCAGTGTCAAATCACACCTAGAAGGCACGCCTACAAACTGGACTATAAAAAACGTGGATCCAACACTTTGCCGTGCTGCAGCACCACAAAAACATGGATCTGAGGCACGGATCCTCATGAATTCATATGATTTTTATATTGAAACAAAATAAAAACACCATGATACTGTAGACCACATCTTAGTCTGTAGGCAGAACCAAAAAAATCACGCATCCACTGTTTCGTGGTGCCGCAATGGCGCAAAAACATGGTTAAAAAACACGGATCCTCATGAATCCCCATAATTTTTGCACTAGATCAGCCCAAACTCACCGTAAAATTACACATCATGTCCAGGGGCACCACCTGCACCACAAAAATCACGGATGCACGGCTTCCTGGCCATACTGTGGCCCAAAAGCGTGGTTCCGAAGCACGGATCTTCATGGATCCTCACACTTTTTGCATTCGGCCCCCCCCCAAACTCACTGTCAAATCACATATCATAGCCAGGGGCACAGCCTACACCACAAAAAACTCGGATCCACGCCTGCCTGGCCATACCGTGGCCCAAAGCGTGGTTCCGAAGCATGGATCCTCATGGATCCTCATGATTTTTTGCACAAGACCAGCCCAAAGTCACTATCAGATCAAACATCATGGCCAGGGGCACAGCATCTACCACAAAAATCACGGACCCATGGCTTCATGGTGAAACCGTAGCCCAAAAACGTGGTTCCGAACCACGGATCCTCACGGATCTTCATGCTTTTTGCATTGGGCCACCCCAAACTCACTGTCAAATCACACATCATGTCCATGGGCACTGCCTTCACCACAAAAAACTCGGATCCACGGCTTCCTCGACATACCGTGGCCCAAAAACGTGGTTTTGAAGCACGGGTCCTCATGGATCCTCACGCTTTTTGCATTAGGCCACACCTAAATCACTGTCAAATCACACATCATGGCCATGGGCACAGCCTGCACCACAAAAAACTTCGATGCACGGCTTCCTGGCCACTCCATGACCCCAAAACGTGGTTTTGAAGCACGGATCCTCATGGATCCTCACGCTTTTTGCATTGGGGAACCCCAAATTCACCCTTTATTCAAATATCTTGTACATAACCACAGATCTGACCACAAACATCATGGATCTACTGCCTCATGGCCCTGGCCAGATGCTACCCTGGATATATTGGCCAATTTTTAGGTGGGTGTGCTGGGATGGAGGAAACGGAGTCGGCTGAATCTCTATCCATTAAAGATGGGCATCCAATGGCTGGGCCAGAATAATTTCAGTTTGGTTTGCCAGCTCCCAGCTCTTCATGGGGCGCAATAGTCACCTGTAGCTGCCATCAGGAGTCCCGGTGTGATCCTGGATGCTTCTGTCTCTATGGAGGCATTGGTCACAAATGTAGCCAAACTGGAATTTTTGAATCTATGTCAGCTTAGGCGATCAGTACCGTACCTGTCCCTTTCCAACCTAGCCATGGTGATCCACGCAGTAGTCAGCTGCAGACTAGACTACTTTAACTTGCTGTACACCTGAGCCAGGGAGTGCAGGGTATAAATGTGATAGAGAGTGAGAGAGAGAGATATGCAGGGCTACCCTTGAGACTGCTCCAGAAACTCCAAATGGTCTAAAATGCAGATGCATGAGTTCTTACTTGGACTTTGTAGAGAGCCCACATTCAGTTGGTTGTTCATCAGCTGGATTGGCTCCAGGTGGAGTATCGAATCAGGTTCAATGTTTTGGTGCTAATCTTTAAAGCCCTAAACAGTCTGTGACCTTTCTTATCTGTGGGAATTATCTTCCAATACACCCCCCCATGAGTGTCACACTCATCTAACAGCAACCTACTGGTGGTCCCTGGCCCAAAACATATCCAGCTGTCCTCAACCAGAGCCAGAGCCTTTATGGTGGAGCGCTTTGTCTAACTGAGACCAGGGCTCAGTGCAATCTATCTCAGTTCTCTCACTTGTCATGGTGAGTGGGCTTGCACATTCCTATGACCCTTGTGAGCGAAGCCATTGGGAATCTCGTACTCCCAGCAGGGTCACCCAAGGTGGTAAGGTCAAAGAAAATTAAATATGCTCAGAGTCCTGTAGTGATTTCATGCTCTTTATTGCAGCTTGTAAAACAGTGACTGAATTTCCCCCCCAAACCTCAGGCTTTTATATACATTATTTACACAATGAGTCCCGTCTGGCTGGCTGATTCTGCTTCCCTCCTGGAGCCTGATTGGTCTTTTCCTGCAAGCCAATCAGTTCTTGCATTCTAGGATCCTACTTGCCTATTGTTCTAGGATCCAAGCTTAGTACATAACAGGGAAGGAGCTAGACAAAGAATGATCCAAGAAGTCCTCAACGGCAGAACAGGCGGGTGATAACAAGCAGTGTGTTACAACGGCTCTGAAGGAGCATGAAGGCTGCAGCAGATAGGATCCACCAGTTCGTCGTGACTACTCATGCCATCAGAACAGAGCCCTACTGCGAAGGCTGTCCGTTGGTCAGCGTGCACTGATCTACACACATAAAACAAATTCACGCACAGGCGTCTTCCAAAAACCCAACCCAACCCCCCCAAACCCTCCCCCCATGGCGATCACTAAATGGCTATTCCATTAACTAAATGGCTATTAATGACTATTCCATTAACAGGGTGAGCTGAAGCAAATTCTTGCCTCCCTTTGGGATTAGCAATATTTCCTACAATATTCTTGTTGAAGGGCATTGGAGAGTTAGGTGAGGGTCACTTTTCTGTTTTTCCATCAAGCCCCCAGACAAGAATGCTACAGCATCAGCCCCAAACACTCAGTCTCATAACAAAAAATACTCAACGGGGTTAGGGCTGAGGGTAGGGGAAGTACAATCATGATCTTTCCAGTCCTCTAGAAGCTGACCCTTTTGGTCATTTTGGTCATGGAGCCAAATATCTGTTCCCAAGTTTAAAGATCTAAACAAGTAAAGAACAAGCTTGCCCTTTACATGCAAAAGCCCTGAAATTCAGCCCATTGGGCAACGGATCATGGGGCTGGGAGGAGGGAGGTAAGGACTAGCACCTTCTCTGCCCTCCACCTCCAACAGCTACACCGGAAAGTTTCATGATGGGGTTCGATTTGAGAAGCTGAATGTTTATAAAGGCACTTAGCCAAATTCTGCCACGGAAATTCTGAACAGAAAATGTAAAGAAACTGAAGGTACATTTTTTCACCTTTGGTGGACGTGCCCAAAGATTAAGGCTTTCTGGGAAATAATATATAATGAATTTAAAAAGGTATTTAAATATACCTTCTTGAAGAAACCAGAGGCCTTTCTCCTGGGCATAGTCGGCCAATTGGTGTTAAAAAAGGATAGAACTTTCTTTATGTACGCAACAACAGCAGCAAGAATACTTATCGCAAAGTATTGGAAGACACAAGAGCTACCCACACTGGAGGAATGGCAGATGAAACTGATGGACTATATGGAACTGGCGGAAATGACTGGTAGAATCCGTGACCAGGAGAAGAGTCGGTGGAAGAAGATTGGAGGAAATTTAAAGATTATCCACAGAAATACTGCAAAATTAAAGAATGCTAGATTGATGATGGATTGAAATTAAGTGGTTTCTAGCTGCACAGGTGTTAAAGTTATATATAGACTAAGATTAAGGATTAGGCATAAAAAGGTTAAAAGAATGGAAAATTGGCTATTAATAGATAAGAATTTAAAGTTATACCATATTAAGATTAAGGATTGGGATTAAAAAAGAGGGAAAGAAATTGCTGGACAAATAAATTGAACTGGAATACAAAAGAGGGAGGTATGAGGAGGTCCAGAAAATAAGTAAATTTAAAAGTGGAGATGAAAAGATGGTATTGTTTTTAACTGTTCTTTTTTTGTTTTTTGTATTTTGTATTGTGTATTTTGTATTGTGTAATTTTCTTTTTATTTTTAAATTTTTTTATTGATGTGTCTTTTCTTATTGGAAACTTTAATAAATATCATTTTTTTTTAAAAAAAGGAAATTCTGAACAGAAACACTCTGCAGGTTCAGCCCCCAAAAGAAACTGCTCTATGGTCTCTGTGTTGGGAAATGGGAACCAAACTTGCTCATCACCAACCTTCCCTCCACAAATCAGTATCACTATGAGGCTGAACTGAACGGCTTGCTCCAGAGTTTTAAGAGATACGTTTCTGTGGTGTTGTGGTTAAGAGCGGTGGACTCTAATCTGGTGAGCTGGGTTCGCTTCCCCGCTCCTCCACATGCAGGCTGCTGGGTGACCTTGGGCCAGTCACACTTCTCTCTGAACTCTCTCAGCCCCACCTACCTCACAAGGTGTCTGTTGTGGGGTGGAAGGGAAAGGAGATTTTTAGCCACTTTGAGACTCCTTCAAGTAGAGAAAAGCAGGATATAAAAACTAACTCCATAAATAAGAATTCTATGGAAAATGACCATCCCTGCCATGATGATGAAAACTATATGTTTGGATTTTGCTGTATTATACCAACCTGTGGAATATGACAGTTCGCAGTTTCAAAATCTATTTGGCCACAGTGGATTGACAGTCTGTTTTGTTTTTTTTAAGATATTTATTACATATATAAAGTTACAAAAAATAAAAAGAAAAACCATACAAAATACAAAGAAAACTTTAGCCACAGCATAGCAAGAAATAAACAAGTAAAAAAGAACAATAAGATAGAATAAAAAAGACTTGACAAAAAAATATAAAAATACATTGAGTTAAAAAAAAGACAAAAACAGATTAAACCTTTACATAACCTTTTTCTCTTTACTTATTTCCATGACCTCCTCTCACCTCCCAGTTTTGTATTCTAGTTCAGATCGTGTTTCCAGCAAATCCTTCTAACCTTATTTTCATTTACGTATTTTAAAATTAGAATAATGTGATTAAACCTCCTCTAATTCATCAATTTCATCAACTCATTTTTGCTTAGTCCATTATATCATATCTACCAGAACGATCTAATATTCTTTTTCCAACCTCTTTCTAGCATTCTTTTATATTGCAGTACTTTTGAAGGTATATTTTGAATTTTTCCAATCTTCTTCCATCGACCCTTCTCCCTGGTCTCGAATTCTGCCTGTCATCTCAGCCAGTTCCATGTAGTCCATCACTTTCATCTGCCATTCTTCTCGGGTGGGCAATTCTTGTGTCTTCCAGTACTTCCCGATGAGTATTCTTGCTGCTGTTGTAGCATACATAAAGAAAGTTCTATCCTCCCTTCGCACCAATTGGCCGACCATGCCCAGAAGAAAGGCCTCTGGTTTCTTCAGAAAGGTATATTTAAATACCTTTTTCAGTTCATTATATATCATTTCCCAGAAAGCCTTAATCCTTGGGCATGTCCACCAAAGGTGAAAGAATGTACCCTCAGTCTCTTTACATTTCCAACATTTACTATCTGGCAAATGATAGATTTTTGCTAGCTTGACTGGGGTTAAGTACCACCTGTAAATCATTTTCATTATATTTTCTCTTAAGGCATTACAAGCCGTAAATTTCATACCTGTGGTCCATAACTTTTCCCAGTCAGCAAACATAATGTTATGTCCAAAATCTTGTGCCCATTTAATCATAACAGATTTAACCGTTTCATCCTGTGTATTCCATTTCAACAGCAAGTTATACATTCTTGACAGATTCTTAGTTTTAGGATCTAACACTTCTGTTTCCAATTATGATTTTTCCTCCTGGAAACCAATCTTCTTATCTAAATTATAAGCCTCCCTTATTTGATAATAATGAAGCCAGTCTCGAACTTTAGTTTTTAATTTGTCAAAGCTCTGCAGCTTTAATCTATCTCCATCCTGTTCTAAAATTTCACAATATTTTGGCCAATTTGTCTCCATATTAGTTTTTTTCAGAGCCTTAGCCTCCATTGGTGACAGCCACCTTGGTGTTTTACTTTCCAACAAATCCTTATATCTCACCCAGACATTAAACAATGTCTGGATTGACAGTCTGGACACACGAAAACCTCTGGAAGATCTTTTGAATCAATGCCTATGCGAAAGCAGTGGTACCAGTCCTTGCAGTTTCCTTCACAGTAAACCATAGTTAGGTCACCACTGGGCCTCCTGCACCCTTCCTTCAAGAAACATAGTGACCAGCAGCCTTCAAACAAGGAAGGTAAAATATCTGAGCAATAGGTTAGTGTATCCTTCCATCCCTCTGGGCATGATCGAGACACAGTAATGTAACTCTCGTTCAAGATTTGTCTCTTCTTGAGAGGAACAGCATCAATTTCCACTTGAAAATATTTGTCTTGTCCTTCAAAATGGGTTTTCCCACAGTACTGTATTATTTCTTTTGCAATCCAGGGTCTAATGACAGCCATATCCTTTTGTATGAACTGTAATTGGGCAGCAGAAGCAATCAGATGGGCAATGGTACATGTGAAAGGACCGTAGTCACTGGAATTACCTTGCCTGGGTATATCAGTTGGTGCAAAAAATGACCAGCCGCAAAACTATAGGGATATTTTGAATCCATCTCTTACAGACATGCTAAGAAGGATGTTATTGCATCAATCACAGAGTGTTTCAATCCATGTTTGGAATCATAGAATCATAGAGTTAGAAGAGACCACAAGGGCCATCGAGTCCAACCCCCTGCCAAGCAGGAAACACCATCAGAGCACTCCTGACATATGGTTGTCAAGCCTCTGCTTAAAGACCTCCAAAGAAGGAGACTCCACCACACTCCTTGGCAGCAAATTCCACTGTCGAACAGCTCTTACTGTCAGGAAATTCTTCCTGATGTTTAGGTGGAATCTTCTTTCTTGTAGTCTGGATCCATTGCTCCGTGTCCGCTTCTCTGGAGCAGCAGAAAACAACCTTTCTCCCTCCTCTATGTGACATCCTTTTATATATTTGAACATGGCTACCATATCACCCCTTCACCTCCTCTTCTCCAGGCTAAACATGCCCAGCTCCCTTAGCTGTTCCTCATAAGGCATCGTTTCCAGGCCTTTGACCATTTTGGTTGCCCTCCTCTGGACACGTTCCAGTTTGTCAGTGTCCTTCTTGAACTGTGGTGCCCAGAACTGGACACAGTACTCCAGGTGAGGTCTGACCAGAGCAGAATACAGTGGCACTATTACTTCCCTTGATCTAGATGCTATACTCCTATTGATGCGGCCCAGAATTGCATAGGCTTTTTTAGCTGCCGCGTCACACTGTTGGCTCATGTCAAGTTTGTGGTCAACCAAGACTCCTAGATCCTTTTAACATGTACTGCTCTCAAGCCAGGTGTCCCCCATCTTGTATTTGTGCCTCTAATTTTTTTTTGACCAAGTGCAATACTTTACATTTCTCCCTGTTAAAATTCATCTTGTTTGTTTTGGCCCAGTTCTCTAATCTGTCAAGGTCGTTTTGAAGTGTGATCCTGTCCTCTGGGGTGTTAGCCACCCCTCCCAGTTTGGTGTCATCTGCAAATTTGATCAGGATGCCCTTGAGTCCATCATCCAAGTCGTTGATAAAGATGTTGAATAAGACCGGGCCCAAGACAGAACCCTGTGGCACCCCACTAGTCACTCTTCTCCAGGATGAAGAGGAACCATTGATGAGCATGTTGGGTATATTGATTTATTGCTCAGATAAGCGTCCGGCACGCTTCCCCATCGCGCACAGCTCTGGCCGGCATTCCAAAGTCCACATTCCTGATACTTCTGAGCATAGCAGAGTTCGTCAGCAGCGGCAAGAGAAAGACTGCAAAGAACTCCAGTGCCTTCTTCAGTGTGCTTAAATAAAGTCCACTCAGGATCTTAGCAGCTAAAAGCAGTTTTATTTACAGCAGACTATCCATTATCTATCACAGCGAACAGCATCGTGAAAACACGTCCTCTCTCCTCAAAAGCGAAAGTAGAGAGAAAGAACAAAGGCTTGAGGCTCTCGGAAATGACGCAGAAGTTCCCCCCTCCCAACAGTAGGCAGAGCGTACACTCTGAGCTGTTTAACCCTGTAAGCTCAGGTTCTCCTCACAGAGCACCCTTTGGGTTCGGTCAGTCAGCCAGTTACAAATCCACTGAGTGGTAGCATAGTCAAGACCGCATTTTACCAGCTTCTTTACAAGAATATCATGGGGCTCCTTGTCAAATGCCTTGCTGAAATCAAGGTAGGCTACATCCACTGCGTTCCCTTCATCTAGCAGGCTTGTAATTCTGTCAAAAAACGAGATCAGGTTAGTCTGACATGACTTATTTTTCAGAAATCCATGCTGACTATTGGTGATCACAGCATTCCTTTCTAGGTGCTCACAGACTGTTTGCTTAATGATCTGCTCCAGAATCTTCCCTGGTATTGATGTCAGACTGAGTGGGCGGTAATTATTTGGGTCCTCTCTTTTCCCCTTTTTGAAAATAGGGACAACATTTGCCCTCCTCTAGTCTGCCGGGACTTCGCCTGTTCTCCAGGAATTCTCAAAGATGACTGACAGTGGTTCTGAGATCACATCTGCCAGTTCTTTTAATACTCTTGGATGCAGTTCATCTGACCCTGGAGACTTGAATTCATCTAAACTAGCCAAGTATTCTTGTACTATCTCCTTAGTTCTTCTGGGCTGTGTTTCCTCTGCTGAATCATTTGCTCCAAATTCTTTAGGTCGGGCATTGTTTTCTTTATCGGAGAAGACTGAGGCAAAGAAGGCATTGAGGAGTTCAGCCCTTTCTGTGTCCCCTGTTTGCATTTCACCATCTTCTCCTCTGAGTGACCCCACTGTTCCTTTGTTCTTCCTTTTGCTACTGAACATACCCATAAAAGCCTTTTTGTTGCTTTTAACCTCTCTAGCAAGCCTGAGTTCATGCTGTGCGTGAGCTTTTCTGACTTTGTGTCTACACGTGCTGGCTATTTGTTTGAATTCCTCTTTGGTGGTTTTCCCCCTTTTCCATTTTTTGTACACATCCTTTTTTAATCTTAACTCAGTTAAAAGTTCTTTAGATAGCCACCCTGGCTTCTTTAGGCACCTTCCATGTTTCCGTCTCATTGGTATTGCCTGAAGTTGTGCGTTTACTATCTCCCTCTTAACAAACTGCCAGCCATCATGAACTCCCTTTCCTTTTAGTATTACTGTCCATGGGATCTCACCCAGCACTTCCCTAAGTTTTATGAAGTCGGCTTTCTTAAAGTCAAGAAATTGAGTCCTAGTATGCTTGCCTGCTCCTTTCCGCTGTATAGTAAACTTCAGAAGAGCATGATCACTCGCGCCTAATGATCCTTCCACTTCTACCCCACTAACCAGGTCATCAACATTGGTTAGGACCAGATCTAAAATGGCTGTTCCTCTTGTTGCTTCTCCCACTTTCTGGAGAATGAAGTTGTCTGCAAGGCCAGTGAGGAATCTGTTTGACCTTATGCTCTTGGCTGAGTTTGACATCCAACAAATATCTGGGTAATTGAAGTCCCCCATTACTACTATCTCCCTTCCTTTTGCATGCTTGGCCATCTGTTCCAGGAAGGCATCATCTACGTCCTCCGTTTGACTTGGGGATCTATAGTAAACTCCCACAATGAGGTCACTGTTATTCTTCTCTCCCTTAATTTTGACCCAAATGCTCTCACTTTGGCTTTGAGGTTCTAAATCTTGGATCTCTTCACAGGTATACACATCCTTGACATATAACGCCACTCCTCCTCCTTTCTTGTCTGGTCTGTTTCTCTGAAATAGATTGTATCCCTCCATTATTACATTCCAATCGTGGGACTTATCTCACCAGGTTTCAGTGATGCCCATTATGTCATATTTAGTTTGCTGTACCAAGAGCTCAAGCTCATCTTGTTTATTTCCCATGCTTTGCGCATTAGTGTACAGACATTGAAGTCCATTAATCATTCCCCGTGTCTCTTATTTAAGGATTTTTCCTCCCACCACTAGGTCTGCGTGCTGTTTGCTCCATTTGGTCTATGACATTTGGATGATCATCTTCATCAATTGATAGACTCCTACCTTCAGGAGCACTGTCTCCCTCCCCACATTAGTCAGTTTAAAGCCCTCCTGATGAGGTTTCTGAGATTTTTGGCAAAAACATTTCTCCCAACCGTTGTGAGGTGCAGCCCATCGCTTGCCAGAAGTCCATCTTCAAGAAACTGCAGTCCGTGATCTAAGAATCCAAACCGTTCCTGTTTACACCATTTGCGAAGCCAGCTGTTCACTTCCACTATTTTTCCCTCTCTCCCTGGGCCACGTCGTTCAACTGGGAGGACAGATGAGATGACAATTTGTGCATTTAATTGCTTCCATTTCCTGCCCAGAGCCTCGTAGTCTCTTTTGATCTTCTGGAGGCTATTGCTTGCAGTGTCATTGGTTCCCACATGAACCAAGAGGAAGGGGTATTTGTCAGTGGGCTTTATGATTCCTTGCAGTCGTTCAGTTACATCTTGGATCTTAGCCCGGGGAGACAGCACACTTCCCGAGACATCTTGTCAGGCCCACAGATCACTGCTTCTGTTCCCCTCAGTAGGGAATCCCCTATCACCACTACACGCCTCCTCTTAGGTTTGGTCGGGGTTCTTCCGTGAGCTGTCCGTTCCAAGGTCGCCTGCACATTCCCTGAGGACTGACTTTGCTGCTCGTCTTCATATACCTGATCGACTGTAATGAGGAGAGATCCTCAAATGGAGTCTGCTCTTCGTCTTCCATGCTAGGGGAGAGGACCTCAAAGCGATTGTGTATTTCTAAACAATCAGAGCGAACCCTGGGCCTCCTACTTCTTTGAGTCACGTTTCTCCATATATCTGGCTCCTGTGTTGGTGAACTAGCCTCCTTCTCAGGGAGTCCTCTGTCTCCTCCTTGGTGGAGACGGTGTGCTCTGTTGCTTCCAAGAAGAGCTCCAGCTCTCTAATTCTTTGGAGCGTAGCTACACGTTCCTCCAGTTGCTGGACTTTGTCTTCTAAGAGGGCAATCAACATGCAATTGCTGCAGGTAAAGCTGCCTGCAATCTTTGGCAAGATGGCAAACATTGCGCAGGAACCGCAGGCGACTGCAGCTGTTCCCTCCCCCTCCATCTTGAGAACGTGTTGTTGGGGGTGGCTACAGCGATCCTCCATCATAAAAAGCATGAAGACAGGACAAATAACTCCCCCCCCAAAAAAACCAAAAAACCCCCCAAAAAAACCTAGGTCTCCCCCAACAAACATTTGAGACTAGCTCCCCTAAATCTAAAAGATGGATCAAACTGCGTGCGCCGCTAGAACACCCTTTTGCTCCTTCTTCAGCTGCTGCCCTGCAAGCTCTGATAAGCTCCTCCCACAGCTAATCACCTGCCTCAACAGAAACCCTGCCCCCTCTGACCTTTGCACAGGGAGAGCAGCTAATCAGCCACAAAGAAACACACACACAAGAAAACCCTTTTTGCTCCTTCAGCTGCTGCCCTGCAAGCTCTGACTGCTGTGGTGATATAACTAAATAGTTCGACTGATGATTTCACAGTACAGTAGCTGAAGGAGTCATTCCCAACAGCATAGTTTTGGGGTCCAATGCAAATTTAGGGTATTTTTTTACATTTTTTCATTTCGAAATGAACTTTCCTCCAAAACTTTTGGTCTTTTCACAGGTCCACCATAAATGGAAGAAGATTCCTCAAGGTCTATCACATTTCCAGCAATGTCCATTCATTGCATTATTCATCTTCTGTATATTTTTCAAAGTTATATACCATTGAAAGAACATTTTTGTACAGTCTTACCTCATGTTACAGCCGCTTCAGGTTACGTGTTTTTGGGTTGCGGACCGCGGGAATCCTGGAAGTACCGGAACGGGTTACTTCCGGGTTTCGCCGCTTTCACATTCGCAGAAGCGCCAAATTGCGCTGGTGCCTGTGCAGACGTGGCGCTTCAGGATGCGAACGCTGTGAGTTGCAGATGTGCCTCGGTCATGGGTTATGTCTGCAACCCGAGGTTCCACTGTACCAATTTTGTTTTAGGGCTTAACTTGCAGTAAATTTTATTCCTTTATTCATAATTGTTCTCATTGTTCCACTGTGAACTGCGTGGTTGCTGAACAACTCCAGGCACGCCTGGAGGATGCGGACCATTTGGATCCCTTCCAATCGGGATTCAGGCCTCACCATGGGACTGAAACTGCCTTGGTCGCGCTGGTTGATGATCTCCGGCGAGCTAGGGACAAAGGTGAGAGTTGTTTCCTGGTTCTGCTGGATCTCTCAGCGGCCTTTGATACAATCGACCATAACATCCTGTGATGGGATGATGAGCTGCTTGTGCGTAAAATCGTATCCCCTCAGAGTTTGTTCAAGTCCACAAACCTCTGTCTGTGACAGAGCCCCTCAGACATGGCTACTCTAGTCACTAGCAGATTCCGACAGTGGTTGCTTTCGTAATCGCTTCCAACATAAAAGCTCCTTAACGGAAACACGTCTTCTGGAATCTCTGCGTGACAGTTTCCGGCGAGGAGTGGGTGTTCTTACAGGAGGTCCTGAAACCTCTCCACTGTTTTCGCTGGAAGTGTCTCTGAGCCATCCCTCCAGCTCAGCTCCTCTCCCCCTGCTGGTTCCCTCATCAGCTGCTGCGTCTCTCCCAACCTGTGTGAGCCCTTTCACCTCCCTGTTGGTTTCCTCTTCAGCTGCTGCGTCTCTCCCAACCTGTGTGAGCCCTTTCACCTCCCTTCCGTCCGATGGCAGTTCCCTGACACATCCTTCTGGACCGTATAGAGGGGCTGGGAGCTCGGGGCACTGTTATACAGTGGTTTCGCTCCTTCCTCCTGGGCCGTGTTCAGAAAGTGGTGGGGGGGGATGAGTGTTCAGACCCCTGGGCCCTCACTTGTGGGGTGCCTCAGGGTTCCGTCCTCTCCCCCATGCTTTTTAACATCTATATGAAGCCGCTGGGAGAGATCATCAGGGGGTTTGGACTGGGTGTCCATCAATATGCAGATGATACCCAGCTCTACCTCTCTTTCAAATCAGAACCAGTGAAGGCGGTGAAGGTCCTGTGTGAGTGCCTGGAGGCGGTTGGAGGATGGATGGTGGCTAATGGATTGAAGTTGAATCCTGACAAGACAGAAGTATTGTTTTTGGGGGACAGGGGCGGGCTGGTGTGGAGGACTCCCTGGTCCTGAATAGGGTAACTATGCCCCTGAAGGACCAGATGCGCAGCCTGGGAGTCATTTTGGACTCACAGCTGTCCATGGAGGCGCAGGTCAATTCTGTATCCAGGGCAGCTGTCTACCAACTCCACCTGGTACGCAGGCTGAGACCCTACCTGCCCGCGGACTGTCTCGCCAGAGTGGTGCATGCTCTAGTTATCTCCAGCTTGGACTACTGCAATGCGCTCTACGTGGGGCTACCTTTGAAGGTGACTCGGAAACTATAACTAATCCAGAATGCGGCAGCTAGACTGGTGACTGGGGGCGGCCGCCGAGACCACATAACACCGGTCTTGAAAGACTGGCATTGGCTCACAGTACATTTCCGAGCACAATTCAAAGTGCTGGTGTTGACCTTTAAAGCCCTAAACGGCCTCGGCCCAGTATACCTGAAGGAGCGTCTCCACCCCCATTGTTCTGCCCGGACACTGAAGTCCAGCGCCAAGGGCCTTCTGGCTGTTCCCTCATTGCGAGAAGCAAAGCTACAGGGAACCAGGCAGAGGGCCTTCTCGGTAGTGGCGCCCGCCCTGTGGAACGCCCTCCCATCAGATGTCAAAGTGATAAATAAGTACCTGACATTTAGAAAACATCTTAAGGCAGCCCTGTTCAGGGAAGTTTTTATCTGTGATATTTTACTGTATTTTTGGTTTCTATGGAAGCCGCCCAGGGTGGCTGGGGAAACCCAGCCAGATGGGCGGGGTACAAATAATAAATTATTATTATTATTATTATCATCATCATCATCATCATCATCATCATTATCATTATTATTAAAATTTTTGCATCCATTTTGTCATATAAGGTTTTGCTTGTTCGGGCTTGGTGTCATATTTGAGTAATAGTTTATAAATTTTACCCAAAAGGTAGAACTCTGTTATGATGGACTCAAATTCTGTCTTTTCACTGATTTAAATGTTTGCCATACAGTCTTTCTTGAATCTGGATATTAGTTTGACTGAAGGGGCGCTGCGCAGAGAGGAAAATCTGTGCAGCGCCTCTCCAGCAAAGCAAAGCCTGGAGAGCAAGAGGGATTGGTGTGCACCAACCCCTCTCGTTCTCCAGGCTTCAGGCTGCTATCCGCAAGCCTTCGGAGCACAGCGGGAACTTGTGCTGCGCTCCAAAGGCTTCAGGCGGCTATCCCTGAAGCCTGGATAGCGAGACCCTCTCGCTCTCCAGGCTTCAGCGAAAGCAACGCGTAGCCTCAGGAGCGCCGAGGGAGCGCTCCCTCTGCGCTTCGGAGGCTTCGTGTTGCTATCGCTGAAGCCAAGGAGCCTGCATTCGCTCCATAGGACGCACACACATTTCCCCTTAATTTTGGAGTGTAAAAAGTGTGTCCTATAGAGCAAAAAATACGGTAGACATATATTCACTTATCGGCTCTAATAATAATATTGCAGTGGTGACATTAACAGTGCAGGTAAGGGCATTGTTGTGATTTTTGTAGTGCAACTCATGATTTTTGTGGTGCAGGCTGTGCCCCTGGACATGATGTGTGATTTGACAGTGAGTTTGGGGTGGCCCAATGCAAAAAGCATTAGGATCCATGAGGATCCATGCATCAAAACCACGTTTTTGGGCCATGGGATGACCAGGAAGCCGTGGATCCGAGTTTTTTGTGGTGCGGGCTGTGACCCTGGCCATGATGTGTGATTTGACAGTGAGTTTGGGTTGGCCCACTGGAAAATGTGTGAGGATCCATGAGGATCCATGCTTCGAAACCACGTTTTTGGGCCACGGTATGGCCAGGAACCCGTGGATCCGAGTTTTTTGCGGTGCAAGCTGTGCCCCATGGCATAAATTGTGATTTAACAGTGATTTAGGGGTGACCCAGTGCAAAAAGCGTGAGGATCCATGAGGATCCGTGCTTCAAAAGCACATTTTTTGGCCATGGAGTGGCCAGGAAGCCGTGGATCTGAGTTTTTTGTGGTGCAGGCTGTGCCCATGGACATGATGTGTGATTTGACAGTGAGTTTGGGTTGGCCCAATGCGAAAAGCGTAAGGATCCATGAGGATCCGTGCTTCAAAACCACGTTTTTGGGCCACGGTATGGCCAGGAAGCCGTGGATCCGTGATTTTTGTGGTGCAGGCTGTGCCCCTGGCCATGATGTTTGATCTGATAGTGACTTTGGGCTGGTCTTGTGCAAAAATCATGAGGATCCATGCTTCGGAACCACGTTTTTGGGCCACGGTGTGGCCAGGCAGGCGTGGATCCGAGTTTTTTGTGGTGTAGGCTGTGCCCCTGGACATGATGTGTGATTTGACAGTGAGTTTGGGCTGGCCCAATGCAAAAAGCATAAGGATCCATGAGGATCCGTGCTTCAAAACCACGGTTTTGGGCTGTGGTATGACTAGGAAGCCGTGGATCCGTGATTTTTGTGGTGGATGCTGTGCCCCGGCCATGATGTTTGATCTGATGGTGACTTTGGGTTGGTCTTGTGCAAAAATCATGAGGATCCATGAGGATCCGTGTTTTTTTAACCATGTTTTTGCGCCCCTGCGGCCCCCCAAAACAGTGGATGCGTGATTTTTTTGATGCTGCCTACAGAGTAAGACATGGTCTACAGTATCATGGTGGTTTTATTTAATTTGAATGAAAAAATCATATGAATTCACGAGGATCCGTCTAGATCCGCCTTTTACCTTTTTCCCTGCTCTACCTTGGAGTTCCTTCACTTAATGCTTTCAATCCCAATTGGTAGTTGCAATTGGATATTTGGGTAGGGTGCGCGCTCTTTGATACTGTTTATATTATTACAGTTGCCAGCAGTGTAATTAATACCTGAAGGCGCTGCCTTTTAATTGAAGTGGTTGAGAGCGTGTTAGGTGGTCTCATGGCTCCAAAGAAAAATATTGATCCGGCCCCTGCTGTCTCCGAACCAAAGAGCGCTCCTGTCAAGCGTGCACAGTCAGCTCAGTCAGGCAAGGGTTCCTCCATTACGGGGCAGGCAATAGGGCTATTGGGTTCAACCTTAGCAGGCATGGCTAAAATCCCGCGTGCATTGCGTAAGTTTTTTTACCGAATTTGACTCTATGATGGATAGGTTCAGGCCGGGAGACGATGACCAGGGTTCAGGCCATCAGTCTTCCCCTGACCACATTTCCGATACGGGAGCCAGCGGCTCTAGTGGGTCCCAGAGTGATGATGGTGAGATGCCTGACACATAATAATAATAATAATAATAATAATAATAATAAATTTTATTTGTATCCCGCTCTCCCCAGCCAAAGCCAGGCTCAGAGCGGCTAACATCATATAAATAAGACAATATGCATAATACAATATACAATATGCAAATAAAATAACATTCAACATTCAGTAAAATAATATAAAATAATTTTAAATATCAGCATTTCAAAATTAAACAGAAATCCACTCAACAATTACAATAAGTAATTTCTAAACTCCAATCAATAAAACAACAGCAAACCACAGTGCACAACATAATAAAATACAAAATAAGAAGCAGAGACTGGAGGGTGGGGCAAGGCAGGTGGAAAGAGGCCTTGCCTGATGGAGTCTCCCCCCTCACAGTCCTTCCTCCAGGCACAGCTTCCTTATGAAGAATCCTAGGACCGGGGGTGGGGCAAGGCAGGTGGAAGGAGGCCTTGCCTGATGGAGTCTCCCCCTCACAGTTCTTCCTCCAGGCACAGCTTCCTTATGAAGAATCCCAGGACCAGGGGGTGGGGCAAGGCAGGTGGAAGGAGGCCTTGCCTGATGGAGTCTCCCCCCTCACAGTTCTTCCTCCAGGCACAGCTTCCTTATGAAGAATCCCAGGTCCAGGGGGTGGGGCAAGGCAGGTGGAAGGAGGCCTTGCCTGACGGAGTCTCCCCCCTCACATCCCAGGCCTTCTTTGATAATTTGCAAGCGACTAATGCCGCACCCCAGCAGGGGGCTCCCACGCCTAAGCCCCGCAGCAAGCAATCTCGTTCTGCATCGCGCACGCGAACAAATGTTCAGTCTGCCATCGTGCCCCCAAGGAGGGATGAGCAGCCTCGGCGCACAGGCTGGAAGGCCTTGCGAAAGACGGATAGGCGGGCTTCTTCCCCCCATTCCCCTGTCTCGGCTGGGAGGCAGCCATCAGTGTCGTTTTCCAGCGCCACACCGAGCAAAGCGTTGGCACAAATCGCAGGCGCTTACACGTCCTCAGAGGGCGAAAGTGTGCTTCAATACCCAGATGCAGCTATAGCACCCAAAAGCGACAGCATAAGCAGCATTCCAAGAAGAGCAAGAATTCCAAGAGGGACGACTCAGACTTGGACTCAGGTACGTCCTCCTCTTCTTCATCCAGCTCTGACTGATAGCGATGAGTCACTGAATTGCTACTGGGGCCTGGGTGAAGGGGTTCCTGGTTTACCGTTATGGACATGGAATAGGAGAGCAAATTCCCATTGTAAGCGGTTTGGCGGGACCTTGAAGTGTAAGGACGGGGTGCTACTGGAGGACGTTAAAGTCTCTACCAACAGGCCCAAAGATATTATCCTGGGTAATCATTTGTCTGCAAGAACCAGGGCCAAAATATTGAATGGTGCGTATGTAGATATCTTTAAGCTGCTCCCGCTAGATGAAAAATCTGAAAGAAAGCATGTTTATGGTAAGCGAAAGTAATAGTCACCCAGGGCGGATAAAAATTTTGAAAATTGGCTAAATGGCTTCCAAGTTTTTTTCTGCGTAGTAGCAGCGGCTTATCCAAAAAGAGCGATGCATTTGATTGTCTATCAAGCACTCGTGAGGACGGCCTACGCCACGGGCAGAGAATCTGCGGCCATTCATTACGATAAAATGTTCCAGAGAAACGCTGCACTGCTGCCCTCTGCACACTGGGATCGGGTGGACCAATTTATCTGGCTTACGTACGTGGGTCCCCACATCAAAAAGAAACCGCCGGGGGGGCCGCCAGGGGCGCATTGGAAGATGGCCGACAATACCATCTCTCCGGCTCACACGAGGTAATTAAGAGGCTAATATGGGAGTATGTAGCCTCCCTTGTTTCCCCAGGGAATGGGGAAAACACTGCCTTCGCCTGCGGTTGCCGATAAATCACCCCCGAGTTCGAAAGAAGAAGGGGGTGAAGGCACTAGGAGCACAGCACTCGTGTGGATTTCTGGCTCTCCCGACGCCGTCTCTGATTGCGCGACCTGGTTGCAGGAGCTTAAAGTAAACAATTAGAGAGAGCAGCAAATGCACATGCTTCGAGTGAAGAACAGGAGTTTAGACTGCTAATTGAAGTGACCTCTGTGAAGTTGAGCGACGGGCTGGATTCAACAGGAAAATATATCAAGAAGAAGATACATCAAAGGGTCGGTATATCGGGAAGGGGGGGGGGGGACTTTTCTTTTTCTCTCTATGTGATTACCTAACAATCCCTCCCCAAGAAGAACCGTTGCAACAATTGACTATAAGTGGGGTGATTAAGAAACTGTGTGGAAATGAATTACTAACCAAAGGCTTGGCTTGTGGAGATCTGGAAAGGAGTGAAAGGCTTTTGGAATGACGCAGTTATAAAAAGAGATTCGCCATGACGGCAGGCTTTGTTGCAGGGTTGACGATCAAGAGGGGGAGGAAGCCATGGATTTGTTATTATATTGGACACTTGTGTCTGACCTGGCAGAACCCCCTGAGAAGATCGAGAAGGGAGTGACAGGCCTGCGAAGATTAATGAGCAGACGTTAAGATTGTTTTCTATGGAAGTGATGAAATGCGTCTGCTGTCTGAATATGACTCTTGGATGAATGGAAAAATCCACACAGGATTATAAAAACGCTTGTTTTCAACTCGCTTGTGGAGACTATCAGAGGTCACAAAGAAAGGAAAAATATACGAAAACAACAAGAAGAGATGAGGAAAACAACAAAGAGAGGAATGGATAGAACTGTGAACATTATTTGGCCAGAGCTGTGAACATCAAAGCAGCAGCAATAGAGATGATCGGATCCCTTTCTGAGCTCGAAGCATGGGTACCCCCAAACAACAATTTAAAATTTGACTCTGTAATTTGGAACTAATGTGATTTGATTGGTTTGTTAATAAAAATTAATTTTTTTAAAAAAAAGAAAAGAAACCGTCGGACCAGGGTAAATTTCTGAAATCTGACTTCAAAAGAAATACGCGCCGCAAGGTATGCTGGGAGCTTAACAAAGGGTTATGTCAATGGCAAAGTTGTAAGTACTCACACGAGTGTGACGGGTGCCTGGGGAATCACCCTGTTGTGTTTTGTTACAGGGGAAAGCAGCCCTTTCTGGGAGGCAGGGGGTCCCACCAGCAGAGTAGACAGGGTGGACAACCCCCTGCCCAAGGGGGTGCACGGAGACAATAATTCCCTTTCACTTGCATTTTCACCCATCAAGCTTCACACGCTAAAAGCCCTCCTTGATTTGTACCCCAATAAGAAAGATGCAAACTACCTTTGGGAGGGCTTCTCCCGGGGGTTTAGAATTCCTGTATCGGTGGCTCCAAATCCCAAGGATCCACCCAACCAAAAATCTGTAAGAGAAAGGCCCGAAGTTGCAAAAAAGAAAATAGAAAAGGAAATATTGGCAGGGCGGGTGGCTGGTCCTTTCACTAGCCCACCTATTCCAAATTTGCACATATCCCCCTTGGGTATTGTACCCAAGAAGGCGCCTCGGCAATTTCGTATGATTCATAACTTGTCGTATCCCGAAGGGGGCTCAGTAAATGATGCCATCCCAGGCGAACTCTGCTCAGTAAAATACGCCTCCTTCGATCATGCCATCAAACTTATCCGGACCTTCAGAAGAGGGGCACTATTAGCAAACTGTGAAATTGAATCCGCCTTCTGCCAATACATCCTGAGGACTTTCGTTGGTTAGGTTTTAAGTTTGAGGGCTCCTGTTACGTGGATAAAGCAATGCCAATGGGTTGTTCAGTCGCATGCGCTGCTTTCAAAACTTTTAGCACCTTTTCGGATTGGGCCCTGCGTTTCAAAACCGGTTTATCTGATTTTTTACTGGTTGGACCGCCAAATAACAATTCATGTGCAACGTTGCTTGATGCTCTTGCCTCTCTTTCGCTGGAGTTAGGTGTTCCCCTGGCAGCAGAAAAAACCGAGGGTCCGGTCACGACTACGACTTACTTGGGCATCGAGCTCGACACGGTCGCCCAGACGTCGTGTTTGCCTGAGGCCAAGCTGACAGCTCTTAAAGCGGCAATCTCCCAGCTCCTCCCGCTCAAAAAGTAACACTCCAGGCAAATTCAGTCCTTGCTAGGCCACTTAAACTTTGCCTGTCGGGTGGTAGCCCCCGGGCGCCCATTCTGCTCACGGCTGGCTAGGTTATCTGCAGGGCAGGGCTGCGGTCACCACATCACAGGGTATGCCTCACAAAGTCCTGGTTGGACAGACAACCAGTCAGTAGTCAATGTCCTGACCAAACAATCTTCGCGTTCAGAAAGGGTGTCCACGATGCTGCGATCGTTTGTGTTACGGTGTCTGCAATTTAACATCATATTTTCAGCAGAATTCATTCCTGGTATTAATAACAATATTGCGGATGCGCTATCTCGATTTCAGATGGACCGCTTCCGGTCGTTAGCCCCAGAAGCACAGCAATTGCCAGAGCCATTCCCGGAGCACCTGTGGAGCCTTGGAAGCGAGACGTGATGCAGGGAGTATTGGTTTCGGTTGCCCCTTCTATGCTTAGGTCCTACTCAAAAGCCTGGCCTGATTTTCTAGCATTTCGGAGAAAATCTTTGGGTATTGCGCATCAAGAGCCCCCCACCACGGACCAGGCGCTGCAATTCTTAGTTCATCTGTGCAACCTTGGTCGTGCAGCAAAGACCTTAACTATACAATCGGCTGCAATTTCCTTCTTTGCAAAATCTATTTACTGCACTGACCCTTGCACTGAGTTCGTGGTGCGCAGGGCTCTCGAGGGTGGCGCAGATTACAACCACCAAGTAAGGAGGGGCATAGGCCCATTCCATTCAATCTCCTCAGTAATATACGAAATAAATTAAAATCAGTGTGCTGGTCCAAATACGAGGCCCGTTTATTCTCAGCTGCATATTCTATAGCATTTTTTTGGCGCTTTAAGAGTTGGTGAAGTGGTACATGAAGGTGAACCGGGTCCTTTATCCCAAGGCCTGCAGCTTGATGATATTCAGCTTTCTGATTCAATGTTGGTGGTTCGCATCCTTTGCTCAAAAACAGACCAAAAAGGAAAGGGTGCCTTGGTTTGGTTGATGGCAACCATGAAAGCGGTCTCTGCCCTGTAAAGGACACAAAAAGGTTTTTGGGTCTCAGGCCCCCAGGTTCTGGCCCTTTCCTGGTACACGAGGATGGGTCCCGTCTTGCCAGGCAGCAATTCACTCGGGTGTTGCGCAAAGCCATTGAAGCTTGTGGGCTTCCGGCTAGGGAATATGCTGCCCATTCTTTTAGGATCGGGGCCGCCACAACGGCGGCTCACTTGGGATTGCCAACAGACAGAATAAAAGACATGGGTCGCTGGCGATCCAACGCGTACAAAAACTATATCCGCGACAGCTCCAAAATTTAAAACAGACCAATCACTTACACGCCTCTGTCATTTTTCTTGATTTTCAGGGTCAAGCCTCATAGAAATCTGGATTGTGGGACACAGTATCGTCCACTGGGCCCAGGAACGGGCGGTCGCTAATGGCCAGGGATGCCAACTGGGTTTTCCACCGCACATTCACATTTCTTGGATATCGAGGCGTGGGATGCGCTGGGCAGAGATGATGCCAATTGTGATGGCCAGGGTGGAGGCACATGTCCCCCAACACTTTGGTTGTGCAGCTGGGAGAGAACGACTTGCCTTGCCGGAAGGGCGTGGACTTGCTTTTCACTATCAAAAAGGACTTGGGCACTCTTGCGCTGAATTTCCTGAGAATGACTCCCATTTGGTCGCTGCTGTTGGAGAGACGCGTTTGGTGTGGCAGCAATTCCCCAGCCGCTGCAGACCGTGCCCGGAAGCATTTGAATCATTCCATTTCACAGAAAGTGGTTGCATTGAATGGCCGGGTGATCCCGCACCCTTCCATTGTTTTCAGCAAAATGACCTTATTTTGCGACGATGGCGTGCACCTTTCCGATTGGGGAATGATATCTTGAACTTCTGCCTGTCCAGTGTGCTTCCCCTGTGCACAAAACACTGCTCAGTGCAATCTTCTGGGGAAAACTTCACCTAAGGCAGGAAATAGCAGAGCTGCAGCGACGTTGCTTCCCTGAAGAAAAACAGGGAGTAAAACAGTCCAGAGACACGGTTCTTCTAATCTAAGAAGCTTTTATTTACATGCCAAGCAGTAAATCAGTCCACCAGAAAATTCAGACATCTCAAAGCACAACTCCGACTGAAATCGAAACTAACTTTCACAGAACAAAGAACAAAGAACTGTGATGTAACATCCTGGCTGACTTCCCGTAGAAGCCCTTCCCTCAGACTCGAAGCACAGAAGGTTAACCCTTTAACCACCACACTCTACATGATATATGGCTGGCTGATATTGCAGAGGGCTTGAGGCATTGACTACAGATGTGAGCCTTTGGGCTCTTGTGGCGGTTAGGCATTGTTTGACCTTGTGTGGGGGAGGGGAGGTGTGGCCATCAACTGCCCCTCCATGCTTAAGGGTATTCCGTTAAAGGAATCTGGGGGTGTTGATCTAGTCTGAAGCCCGGCTGGGGGCTAGGGCCTTGACACGACCCCGACGGGAACTTCAGGGGAAGCTTGAGTTGGTTTGCATCGACAGGGCTCCCCCTACCGGTGGCTTACCCTTACTGGACTTCCTGCACAATGGGCAGGAGTCAGATATAGTCAGGTCCAATCAATGCCTAAGCCAATACCGCTCACATTCTGTAATTCAATAAAGTTGTGGCCAAAATTTGCCCAATAACATAAACCTAATATCTGTGTCCTTGTGTGAGTTATTTCCAACGAGGGGGTGGCTGCGGGGTCTTGACACGCAAACGCCGTTTACCTTCCCGCCGGAACTTGCACTTTGACGTGCTTTTGAACGGCTAGGTTGGCAGGAGCAGGGACCACGCACCGGGAGCTCACCCCGTCGCAGGGATTCGAACCGTCGACCTTCTGATCGGCAAGTCCTAGGCTCTGTGGTTTAACCCACAGCGCCACCCGCATTCCTTGCAAGGCTCTAGGTCTTAGTTAATCCCACCCCTAAAAGCTGAGCTGTTTCGAAGTTATCTCTAGAGAATATATCTTCTATTTTCTCTCACTTCTCCACTCATCCTGTAAATATTTGCTGCATAAATAAAGCTTTTTGAACGCAATATACTCAAGAAAGTGTAAGCAATTATTTCAATCTACAGTGGGACCTTGGGTTACATACGCTTCAGGTTACAGACTCCGCTAACCCAGAAATAGTATCTCGGGTTAAGAACTTTGCTTCAGGATGAGAACAGAAATTGTGCTCCGGCAGCACGGCAGCAGCGAGAGGCCCCATTAGCTAAAGTGGTGCTTCAGGTCAAGAACTGACCTCTGGAGCAGAACTAAGTACGTAACCAGAGGTACCACTGTAATTCACTGAAGTGGCAAGGTCTGGCATAGCTGTCAACCGTCCCTTATTTGGCGGGAAACTCCCTTATCCCAGCGCCATTTCCCGCTGCTGTCCTGGATTGATGATGTCCCTTAAATTTCCTGGGTTTCATACTCGCCCGGCTCGAGAGGGAAGCAGGTGGAAACACCTTTCCACATTTTGCTCCCCCCCCCAGCTCCTTGTCAAGCTCAAAAAACCCAGTGTACCTCAGTTGGTAAAGGGATTCCAGTGCCGTAGCAAGGACCAATTCAGGCTGCGTAAAGCACACAATCCGTCCCATGAGATCCTGATAGAGAACAGAGGGTGGAGGGGAAAACGTCAGTTCCCTATGGACATCAGGTGGATTCCTCCAACCCCAAACTCAGTGCAGGAATTGGCAATTTAATGCCAAATGCCTGCACAACCCTTCTCTTGGCCAGACCCCGCCAGGCCTTCCTTCTGCCCAGCATCCCCCAAACCCCATCCCCAGCTCTCCTGCCCACCTCACCCCTGGATACCTCATCCAGGTACCCCCTGGATACCTCACTCACCGCAATTGCCTTGACGGCCATCTTTTTGGAGTACCTCAACCTGTGCTTTTCTCTCTGGTGGGCCTCCGAGCAAGTGGCCAGCACGCAGGAGAGGAACATCTCATCCTTCTGCAGTTGCTGAAATGGCAAGAGTCAGGCTGTCAGTTCATGGCAGGAGGGCTTCTCTGCATCTGAGACCGCCAAAATGGGGATATAAACAGCACTGGTGGATGGGGGTGAGGGATTTCGTATGTACTGTGCTGTTTTCTCAAATACTAACCACAGGCGATGCCAAGACCCTGCCAGTCTCTGAACCATCTGCAACAAGAGAAGAAGGAAAGGACATGGGGGCAGGTTAGTTCATTTCTACTTATTTTCCTCAGTTGAGTATTAGAGCATTAAGGCCACCCCTCCTTACGTTCCAAAATGAAAAGGAAGCATTTGCTCATGTGGGCCCACAGCAACCCTGGACTTCTTGGGGACTTTGCAGGTCCTCTTCTTGCGGGCTGCCATGTCCTTCAGTCGCCTGAACCTAGAAGAGAAGGAGAGGGGCAGACGTTGTTGTTGTTGTTGTTGTTGCGTGGCGAGTTCCCACCTCCCCCCTCAGAAATAAAGACACGAGACACAAGAATTCGGGTTAATGGGTCGAATTAGGCCACAACTTTATTGATTACAGGAAATGAGCGGTATTGGCTTAGGCATTGGTCCTAACAACTAAACGGCTTCAGCCCGCTTGCTTGAAGACCGGTAAGGGTTAACCACCAATAGGGGGAGTCCTGCTGATGCACGTCAACTAGGACCTCCCTCCGGAGTTACCGCTTGGGGGCGTGCCTGTTGGGACACTGCCAGGGAGACAAAGGCCATCATGCCTCCACGTCGTCTCAGGACGATCCATCAATCTCCCGTAGATACAGTATCAGTCAATTAGCGACACGAGCCTTGGAAATAGCTGTCCACATCCCAGGACTCATGCACGCCCTTTTCGCAGAGTTCGCACAACGAAAGATGCACTCAGGAGAACAGCATATGTACAGCTTTATTCAGCGTTGTTCAGAACAAAGAAAAAACATGCCTGCCTGCCTGCGTGTCGAGGCAACAGAGAGACAAAAGCTATATACAAAAACAGAAACTTCCTGTGAGCCAGAAGTACGCAGACTTTGTGACTCACAACAGCCTGCTCCCTTTTTAAGGAGGAGCGGAAATATCCTAACATCCTCCCACTTTCCGTGTAACCTGTAGTACCTGTGGTTCAACCCAATTGCAACCTCTATACATAAACCTTAAGTTGTTCTCTAGTAACAACCTTAGACAACAGATCAGCAGGAATTTCATTTCCTGGCATGTAGGACACCTGAATGAGTCCTTTCTGAATACACTCTCTTGCGCGATGTAGCATAATCTGCAAGAACGTGGTTCTTTGCTTGCAACTCTCTGAGTTCAGCAAAGCCAAACAGGATCTATTGTCTTGGTACACTTGTATAGGACATTTCACAGAAACTCTGATGTTCTGAAACAGTTGCATCAACCATTCACAATCCATGAGTGAAAATGACAGAGCATTGAGTTCTGCTTCACAGGAACTTAGGCTTACTGTCGTCTGCTTTTTGCACAGCCAGTCAAACAGGCAGTGGTTGTACATGTAGCATACTCCAGAAGTGCTTGTACCATCCGTGGTGTCACTTCCAAAACTTGCATGTGCAAAGATTTCAAGACCTCCAGTCTTCTGACTGGTGAACCTCAGCCTGTAGTGCAAAGTCCCTTTCAAATAGCGGGCTATGCGCTTCAGAGCTTTCCAATCCTGAACAGTAGGATTGTTGGTATGTCTGCTAAGCAGGTTAGTGCTTACAGCTATGTCAGGTCTTGAACATCTAGCAATGAAATTCAACTTGCCTAGAATACATCTGTACAGCGTAGTGTCAGGAAACGCTTCAGCAGTACTATCTACCTGGTAACCTGTCACCATCGGTGTGTCTGCTGGGTTTGCATCAACCAAATTCAACCTGGTTAATACACCAGCAATTTTCTGTGTTTGGTGTACCAGAAAATTACCTGCTTGGTCCCTCTCCACCTGCAGAGAAAGATAGTTGGATACCTCACCAAGATCCTTCATGTCAAAGTGCTCCTTCAGCTGAGCTAGGGTGCTTTGGTACAAAGCCTGATTCTTCCAAAACATCAGAAGATCATCAACAAAACATAAACAATAGAGTTTGTTTTGCCCCTCCTCCTTGACAAACACACATGGATCAGCTTTGCCTTGGTGAAAACCAAGAGAAAGCAATGTCTCAGTTAGTTTTGTGTTCCAACACCTGGCACTCTGCTTGAGACCATATAAGGTCTTCCGAAGTTTACAGACCATTCCCTTCTGCATCTGCATTCCATCAGGTGGAAGCATATACAGCTCTTCCCCCAAAACCCAGTACAAAAAAGCTGTATTAACGTTATGATGGGAAACGTGCAGTTTCTCCTCTGCAGCAATCTTGAGCATTAGCTGAATGCTCTCATACTTGACGGTGGGTGAGTAGGTCTCGTGGTAATCCTGTCCTGCTACCTGTGAAAAACCTCTGGCAACCAATCTGGCTTTGTGCCTGATAACCTTGCCATTCTGGTCTGTCTTAGCCTTGAAGACCCATTTGCTGCCAACCAGTCTCATTCCTGGGACTACCGGTACCAGCTCCCAAGTTTGGTTCCTATCCAAGGAATCAACTTCAGCCTTCATAGCATTTAGCCATGGCTCAGCATTTTTAGAGGTTAACTCCTGAACCTCTTTGAAGTTTGAAGGTTCCCACACCTTCTCTGAGGTACTAAGAACAGCAGTTGCTGTCTTAGCAAACTCATCAGAAACCTCTTTGGAGGTTTGCCTTTTGTGGCCCTTTCAGATCTGCGTACTAGACGCAAGTCTTCTTCACTCATCTCCTCCTTCTTAGGAGAAAAGCGACCAATGGTGAACAGTGGTTCTTCCAGTTCATTGTCAGACGCATCAGATGGTCTGACTGAGGCCTTTGCGCTCTTGTAGTCTGCTGTGTTATCACTGTCGCTGACACCAGCAGCAGCACTGCCCACTGAGCTGGAATCCGAACTCTGATCATCACCCTCATCATCCTTAGCTTCCTCTTCTACCTCAACATCAGCTGCTTTTTTTCACATCATCTTCATCTTCCTCTGAGTGACTCTGGAAAATTCCCACATTCCCCCCCCCCCACTTAGGATTGTACTCAACACTCTTTGTGAACCTAATGGACGTCGAGTCAGTCATCCATACCCTGTATGCACCTTTTTCGTACCCCATGAACAAACCATGTGCCCCACGCTTTCCAAGCTTGCTGCTCTGTGGGGTGTGGACCCACATGTCAGAACCAAAGATTCTCATGTGCTTGACGTAAGGTTTCTTACCAAACATCTTCTCATAGGGTGTACAACCAATAGGTGATGACAATCTGCGATTATAAGTGTAAACAAACGTGGACAGAGACTCCCTCCAAAACTTCTCAGGGAGATTGGCATCATGCAACAAGGTTGTTAGGCCTGGAAGCAAAGTCTTGCTTGCTCGCTCACCAAGTCCGTTCATCCATGGGGATCTCGGCGTTGAGAGGTCGTGCTGGATTCCCTTCTCCAGTCAGGAAAGCGTCAAACTGCTGAGAAGTGAATTCACCGCCTCGATCAGTAAACAGACAGCCGATACGTTTACTGTGAGCATTCTCCAACCATGCACAGAATGCCTTGAACCTAGGAAACGCTTCTGACTTCTGCTGGAGCACAAACACATAAATGTACCTGGAAAAAGAATCAATTAGAAGTACCATGAAGTACCTTGCTCCACCCAAAGAGGGCGTAAGTGGACCAACCAGGTCTGCGTGGACTAGCTGGTAGGGTTTGGAAGCCTGCCTGCTAG